CTCATCATGCTGTTCCCGACCGTCCTCCTTGTGATCTCCTCTGCATGGCTCGCCGCTGCCGCGCCTGCCCGCCGCAGCGCCCCGCCGCCGTGACAGGTACGTCTCCTGTGTACATCATGCGCCCTCGTCGTGCTGACCTCGCGCGCACAGACACGAGCATCCTGCAATACGCGCTCACGCTGGAGCACCTCGAGCACACGTTCTACGTGCAGGGCCTCGAGCAGTACGACGCGCAGGCGTTCTGCGACGCAGGTACGAGCCTCGGTTCGCGGCCGCTTCGCCCAGATCAGGGAGAACGAGCGCGCGCACGTCGAGTTCCTCACAGCCAGCTCGGTGCGGACGCCACGGCGCCGTGCAACTATTCCTTGTGAGTAGCTGCGTAGGCGCGCTGTTGCGGTGAGCAGGAGCTGACATCGGCCGAGTTACGCAGCCCGTACACGGACATCCCCTCGTTTGTGGCGGTGTCGCAGACCCTCGAAGAGGTCGGTGCGGCAGCGTACATGGGCGCAGCGATCTCCGTCGAAAGCCGGGACGTGCTGTCTGCCGCACTGGTAAGCCCTCCACCGCCGGCTGGCCCACGCGACGCGACACTGACGCGCACCCTGCATAGGCCATCTCGCATACCGAAGCGCGCCAGGCGGGCTGGGTCAGTTCCGCCGTCCAGAAGGAGCAGCCCTGGGACGGCGACTACGAGACGCCCCTGTACTTCAGCGGCGTGTGGTCTCTCGCATGTGAGCCGTGCCCCTCGCTCCACGAGTACGTATGTGCTGACCGGTTCTGCAGCGGGCTTCATCACCTCTTGCCCCGCGACGAACCCCGACTTACCTGTGCAGACCTTCCCCGCACTGACGCTCACGCCCGCCATGCCTGTGATGGGCCAGAACGTGAGCGTGTCGTACAACAGCACCGGCGCGCCCATCTCCGCCGACGGGGAGACGTGGCTGGCGTGGTACCACAACATGAACACGACGTTCACCGCGATCGGCGCGGACGGTGTCACGACCGTGCCGGACGACCTGCGCGGGACGGTCTTCGCGGGCGTGGTGAGCAACACGACCGTGACGAGGGACGACGCGACGATGTTGAGCGGGTTGGCGGCCTTGTCGTTCCCGTATAACTCGTCCACGGTTGTTGACGCGTGAGGAGTAGTAATCCTGCGCGTTTGGTTATGGGAGTCCGCGGTGATCGCAAAAATGTTGTTGGAACAGGGTGTTGGGTGCGGAAAGGACTGGAGAGGTAGCTTCTGCGTGTACTGTAGTTCAAGTTGTAGTTTTCCAGTTCTCTTGCGGTTTGCGTTGGATTTGAGAATGTATAATTCTCCTTTATCTTATCGGTGGTCCGGGATACCTCGTCAAGATCTTATCACCAACCAAATCGGGGCGATGAGCTTGAGTTGAAGTAAAGCCCCTGGATCCTCCTCCTCCTACTATCCCGTAACCTGAACTGTGACTTGTACATACACACACTGGGCATTGGGAATCGACACGACTCTACTCGACTGTATCTGCCTTGTCTTGACACTCCATCTAGGGACTCGGACATGCCATCGTGTCCGTCTGGAAGTGCGCAATATCTGCAGCTGCTGTTCACCACGTACTAGAGCGCTTGGAAGGGACCTTTGATTGACTAGTACTTGCGACCAAAATCAGCTCCACTGCCTCAGAAGCCTGTCCATGCCCAAAACTCAACCGGTGAAACTGGAGAATGTCTAGTGTTCTCGTTCATGCAGCTTGCTGCCGCGGCGACGTCGGGTGAGGACGAGTACATGTTATCATTGGCAACCGTCGCGGTAGTCTCTCGTCGGTGTTTTCGACGCATACACCCGGGTTTTACTGCCAAGGGGACATTCATCCAACAAGCAATGTCCGTTCTTCCTCTTGAAGTCTGACTCGCACGCTGTCGCGCCCACATTCCATGGACTGTCAGCGGTGGAGTTGCGGATACCGACCAGTGTGCGCGTGTTGCTTCTTCAGCCGGTGAGTGAGGCGTCGACGCAGTACACAGCCTGTAAGTAGTTGATCTACTTAGTCCTCAGGCTGGCACCGTAGGCCGACGTGACCTACCGTGACTCAGGCAGTTCTGCAGTGCCGCACTACTCGCGCTGCTACGGCAGCACGGAAAGCGCGTGCGGGAAAGGAAGAACGGAGGGGAGGTCTCTCGTATGTAGTCTCGGCCATGACGCGCGACCTCACAACATGCAAGCTCATTGGCAAGTCCAAAATAGCTCTGCGGTCCAAGCTCGCCGTGACGCGCACAGGTTGAGGATGACTCCGATATGGTCGGTTTTCGTCGGACACGGACACGACGACGGACTGGCGACAATCGAAAACAAGGCCTTCAAGTTTCAAGCTTGAGGCAAGCTTGAGGTCTCGGGCCAGACTCGGGCCCCAACCCTCCCCGGGCCCCGCCATCGACCGCGTGCAAGGCGATGTCTCAGCAATGTTGGCTCCTATCGATCCGGAGAGACGAGATGGAAGAAACATATACGGGGGATGGGACGGGCTCATCAACAACGTCATCCGCTGATCCGTCCCCAACGTTAGACTGGACGCCCTGGCTTCGTGCGAACAGTTGGGGTCGCTTCACGTAACGTTGCGTGGGCTTTGGACGTTTGGACCGAGGGCAGTGTTCTAGTCGACGCCACCGCTGTCAACATCGCTGAAGCGTCACGGTGGATGAAGGGTATGGACGCCCTGAGGCAAACGTGGCTCTGCCACGCTCGGAAGCCAGCGAGTCGCGCGCATTACCGAACGTGCTCGAGTGGTACGACGGTTCGCGGGTCAGCTGCAGTACGTGCTGACTGGCACCGGCCCTTCGCTCGTGCTTGGCGTGTGGCCCTCCAGGTGCTGTTGACGAAATGGAGAAGCGGCGCGGTCTGCGAAGAGTGCCTCAGGTGCATGCCACCGAGAGGTGGTGCGGGGCAAGAAGCGTATACTGGCCAATGGGAAGATGAGAAGGCGAAGAGACGCGCCCGGCCCCCGGCGGCCGCGTCGATGCGGACGGGGATTCCTCCAGCAACTCGGGCACTCCTGCGGACTGCGCGCGGGCAGGTGTGCACTAGAGGCCATGGCGGAGACGCACAGTGCCTGCACGATGCATCGACAATGACGTCCATTCGCAGAGAGAACACTCCCGAGAGACGTTTCAGCTGGCCGCGGCAGCAAAATGGGATTGCGATGACTGGTGCGGTCACGTTTGCGAGACGAGCGCGCGCGCGCGCTCTAGCACCTGTTCCACCTGGCTTCTGTGCGCGTCTTCGGGCCACCCAATAGCCATGTCAGTGTGCTGATAGATCCGCGTCATCGTTACGATATATCGGCCTCCGTGCTCGTGCGTATAAAGCGAGCAAGGGCAGAAGCTCCTTCGGCTTGCTTCGCTAGCTCTCGAGTAAGTTTACCTGACGGTCTTCTTCCTCGCGCGAACGACCATCATGTTGTTCCCGGCCGTCCTCCTCGCGCTCTCCTCTGCATGGCTCGCCGCCGGCGCGCCGACTCGTCGCAGCGCGCCCGCCGCAGTGACAGGTACGTCTCCCACCGTACATCACGCGCCCTCGTACTGACGTCGCGCGTAACAGACACGAGCATCATGCAGTATGCGCTCACGCTAGAGCACATCGAGCACGCGTTCTACGTGCAGGGCCTCGAGCAGTACGACGCGCAGGCGTTCTGCGACGCGGGGTACGAGCCTTGGGTCCGCGGCAGATTCGCCCAGATCAGGGAGCACGAGCGCACGCACGTCGAGTTCTTGACGAGCCAGCTTGGTGCGGACGCCCCGGCGCCGTGCAACTACTCCTAGTGAGTCGCTTCGTGGGCGCGCTGAGCGGGAGCTGACTTTGGCCAGCCCGTACACAGATATTCCCTCGTTTGTGGCGCTGTCGCAGACCCTCGAGGAGGTCGGCGCTGCGGCGTATATGGGCGCGGCGATCTCTGTCGAAAGCCAGGACGTGCTGTCCGCCGCACTGGTAAGCCCCCTCGCCTGCTGGCCCACGCGACCGGACACTAACCCGACCTTTCACAGGCCATCTCGCATATCGAAGCGCGACAGGCGGGCTGGGTCAGCTCCGCCCTCCAGAAGGAGCAGCCCTGGGACGGCGACTACGAGACACCCCTGTACTTCAGCGGCGTGTGGTCCCTCGCATGTGAGCTGCATCCGTCGTCCCGCCTACATCATTGCATGCGCTGACTCCCCGCAGCGGGCTTCATCACGTCCTGCCCCGCGACGAACCCCGATCTGCCCGTGCAGGCTTTCCCCGCGCTGACGCTGACGCCCGCCGCGCCCGTGATGGGTCAGAACGTCAGCGTGTCGTACAACAGCACCGGCGCGCCCGTCTCCGCCGATGGTGCGACATGGCTGGCGTGGTACCACGACATGAACACGACGTTTACCGCGATCGGTCCAGATGGCGTCACGACTGTGCCGGACGGCCTGCGGGGGACGGTGTTCGCGGGTGTGGTGAGCAACACGACCGTGACGAGGGACGACGCGACGATGTTGAGCGGGCTGGCGGCCTTGTCGTTCCCGTATAGCTCGTATGCGGTCGTCGGTGCGTGAGTCGTGTTCGGTTATGGGAGTTCGCGGTGATCGCAAAAATGTTGGTGGGGCAGGATGCGGAACGGACTGGTGAGACTTCTGCACGTACTGTAGTTAACGAACTTTCTATGAATGGACGTTTTGACTGACTGGATATTATCTCGTTCGTAATCAGATGTTTGGCGTGCAACCAGTGCCAGACCGATGATTCACGCCAACGGCGATCCTTACGTCGTCCTATAATCAGATCTAGTACTTGGATGCCCCTGCGCACATTCGAATCCTCGCTCCCAACTGTAGGATGCCCCGTGTAGCTTCGGGGTTCTTGTCTAAGGTACAAAGGCTTGAATGGCCACCGGCCGATTGTAACGATACCACCTTCGCGCAATCTCTTCCAAGAACATAGATGTGCAATGCGACCGTTGCTGAAATCGAATGGTGTTCACTGTTCAGGTCTCCCCACTTGTGCGGTTCACCGCTACTACACCTCGAGTTGGCTGGCACATGGAGTCCACGTGAGTGCGGCCCGCGAAATACATGGACCTGCCACCTGAGACGCGCTGACGACACATGGTGGCCACGAAAAGGAGGAAATGGCCCCACCGTGTCGACAGTCGTACGTGGCAGACAGGTGGTGTGCCAGCTGCCTATGAGGTGGGGTACGCGTGGTTTTGACATGCGTTAACGTAGTACCGCCGTGCAAATTACATTGATATGAGCTGCATGCATGCGTTGTGCGTGAGGTCCTTGCATCGCAGACAGCATTCTTGCAGTATTCAAGCACCCATTCACGATCACGATGACAGTATTCAATTGCTGTTGCATAATAATTCACGTCTATGCAGCCCGCACTACATGATACAGTCCGAATAATGCTCTATGAATCCGGCGAAATGAGATTTACAATCGAGCCCTGGATACACGTGTGACACAGAGCACTAGTAGAACGAGGACTACTCCGCAGGATCCGCTGGGGCTTGGCTGCGCATGATCTCCCTCGGTTGACGCAACAAAGGCCTCGTTGACCTGTTGCTGCCGTTCATCTACTACTTCGTCTTCGGGAACAGCGTTGATCGCGGCGGAGTTATTGCCATGTAATGCCCTATCATTGTCGAGGATAGATCTAAAGACTCTATGGCACGATATCAGTACATAATGAATAGAAGCCCAGAAGGGAGACATACCGTGCAAGCTTTTTTGCGTCATTTCCAGCCGACTCGCAAAGACTAGTGAGATGGTCGTTGAGTGTGACCCAGTACTTAATTGATTGGTCTTCTTCATAAATGAGGCGCTATAGGGCTCAGTCGGTGGAGTCCCTGACAGGATGAGCTCGTCGACGGAGCCGCGCTCGGCGTGGACACAGGTCTCGAGCGAGAGCGACGTCATGCTTGAGCTGAGGCTCAACGACGCCGACGCAGTCAAACCGCCCGTGAACCGGCTGAAGAAGCCGGAGCGTCGGGACTCCCGACGCTCCGGCTTTTGGAGACGGTGCTTGCGGGCGTTGACGGCGTGGTCGTGTTGTTAGTCGCGACGCTGAGCGTGGACGACGCCGCGGAGGACGCAACAGATGGCGCATTGCTCCGCGGGGGAGAGTAGCGGGAGCCTCGCGCAGAAAGGGGGGAAATGAGAGACTCCGAGTCGGATATCATGTTTATAAGATACACGCCAGTGACCGATGTGACAGATGGCAAAGCAAGCAGACAGCGGCTGCACGCGAGAGGAGCCTAGTGTCTCGGAATGGCTGCACTGTAGCCTCGTGCGGAGGCCCAATGTCGGGGGCGCGCGGGGGCGGCGCGCTGGACGTGGTCACTTGATACGTGGATCTCACTTCGAAGGAGGGAGGGGTTGGGGAGGGGGTCCATCGAGCCACCGGCCGATACCGCATGCGCGCTCTCCTCATCTTGACAGTGGGTGGAGGCAAGGTGGAGGACCGCGGCGACAGAACCTGTCTCCTGCTGACAAAGCCGTGACAGCACGTTCCGCACAGGTTTTCCCGTCAGCTGTCCGACACCTGGCTTGCATGTGCTCCCCACGTATCGAACGTCGTGTCCCGTAGCTGCTATCGCCACGTTAGACGCACGATTCGCCCGTTTCGAGGTGTACTGTCCCCGCACAGACTGTCGAAACACAACAGCAATTCCAGAGTCGGAGAAGATAAATACATGCCTGTACAATAGCATTACACACAAAGGATCCGTGATGCAAGTCCACCGTTATATGGTACACACCGTTATCTACATACGCACCGTGACAGAGCCGCAGCCGCTACATCCACTCGTCGACCTACCCCACCTTACTCGCTCTTTACCCGCTCATACCCGCCCGACGAGCCCCACCCGAACCAGCTCGTCCGCCTCTGCTGAGGCGCAGGGCGTCCCTCGCCCTCGCCTTCGCCTTCCATGTCACTCGGCACCTCGACCTCCTCAAAGGTCGAGCGCCCGTTGTCCGTCCGCTGGCGGAGCGAGCCCGACGACGACGACCGCGAGGGGTTGTTCGCCTCGGGCACCGGCGCGCCCGGCTCCGAGAGGTCGTACGGCGGAGCCTGCGCCTCGGACGCGAGCTCGTCTCGCCGCGCGTGCCCCGCGTTGGCGTTGGCAGCCTGCGCGGCGGACGCCTGCGCCTGGCGGAGGAGCGCTGCGCCCGACGCGAGGACACTCGGGCCATACGTGCTCCAGAGGCCCGAGGCGAGCTGCGCGGGGCCCGAAACGGGGTCTCCGAGGGAAGGTAGCGGTGCTGCGCCCGCCTGCGCATTCGCGTCCGAGCTGGAGGCGGAGCCGGGGCCTGCGACGGGGATGTTCATCTGGCGGAGCGTGCCGGAGACGTGCTCCCAGGCGGCGCGGAGGATGCGCTGGAGGGACGCGTAGATGTACGTCTTGAGCTGGGCGAGCGCGGAGTCGATCTCGCGCTCGTGCGCGGCGAAGAACGGGCGGAGGTGCGCGCGGTAGAGGTACGTCGCGCCGTGCGTCTGCGGGAGGGCGAGGTAGAGCAGGAAGATGGTCTTGATGGTGTAGTAGAAGGGGAGCCTTCCGGGGCGGGAGGTCAGGAGGAGTAGATCCGGAGGGGCGTCGAAGCGGACTTACCAGGAGACGAGCCACTCGGCGACGTACTCTACCGCGACGATGCAGCCGAGGACACTCCAGTACATCAGCCATCGTTCCAGTTCTTCCTCTGCGGCAGGCCGCTGGGAGAGCACCTTGTACGATGCATACCCGGGATAGAGAAAGGCGGTTGTGGCACTGAATGCGTAATCCCTCGGGCTCAGCAATTCGTTGAGGTCAGAAGTAGATCCTACACGTACCTAACCACTCGGAAGAAAAAGTAGAACAACATAATCTGCAATGAGCTACAGGCTAAACCACCTGGAGAGATGGGAGTATATGAGCTGTGCGGAGGCAGCTACATCCTGCATGCAGCCTCCATTTAGCAGACGCCGGGCCGCGCGCCACCCGGTAACGATCGATTATAATCATTAGGACCGATCGTAACACCGACCTTACACTTCTTTGTAATAGAGTAAGGACCAGATTGTATCAGATTGTATTGATTGCTCCTATCGAGATGAAAAGGCTTCTATCCTCCTTCTATCTGGACTGATTTGAACGGATCCACGACGTCGCCTCATGCTGCAATGCACTTCCCAAGCACTTCCAATGACAAACAGACGAGAAATCTCGCCAGTGTGATGAAGAGTCAATGCAGAACTTGTCCGACAATCGTCTTCTGTGCGGCGATGATTCGTGCGCCACGCGTATGGGCTTGCCATTACGCCGAGCTTTCTCTCCGTGAGTCGTTGCTCCAATGTCAGGTAGTATACAGTGTCAGTGCGATGAAATGCAGTAAGTACATATGCGCGGGGCACGATAGGCTACAGCATCCTCCCAAGCCTGACCAATCAACCGGTCTTGTTTTTGCTTCTCCTCCCAACCTGGGCTTGGAAACCGGTCTTGATGGTGGCGACGGAACGCCTTGACCCGCAAGACTCGCACGACATGAAGAAGATACGGTTCTCCTTGGAGAGGAGAGTGTCGGGAGATTTGCACGTCTTGCACGTAACGTATTCGACTGAAAAGCGTGTGATCACCATATTCCGTGAGCAGCGAAACGATGCATACCGATGTACCGACGGAGGACGTGCTCGATCTGCTTCTGCTGAAAGCGACCCTTGATGACCAGCCGACCGGAACCATCGACGGAGCCGGTGGTACCCATTTCTGCGAACATGTACTGGATGACATGTTCTGGCTGCCTGTGCATCCGCTTGCAGATGTCAGAGACGTTAGCGAAGATAGACTTCTTGTTGCCTTCGCGCAGAATCTGCGGAGGCGCGATGGTATAACGTTTGCCTGCAGAGTTAAGCAGGGCAGGGTTGGATGCGTGCAGTTGAACGTAGAATCGTTGAAGTAGCTGCAGTGGTATTTAGCAACGAGGGCCTTGAGCGAGTAGGACAGATCTACCTCCTGGTATGTGTAGTCGCGATCGCTGCTCAGCCATGGTTCGGTGCCTACGTCCATGCTCACAGTGCCCTCGTTTCGCGCGAACGGGTCATCGCCAAGCTCCACCTCGTCAACCTCGGCGGCAGCATCCTCGCCGCCCTCTTCTTCATCAGCATCTTTCGCCTTTGCCTGATTCAGCTCCTTTTCAAATGCCTCCATGTCCAGAGCTGCTTTCTTCTTCGTCGACTTCTTCTTCTTCTTGAGGTCAGAGAAGTCGAGATCCTCAGTTGCAGCTGGCACAGCGTTAGGCACAGCGGTAGGCGTCGACGTGCCCGAGTTATCCTCTAGCTGAGCACACCATCAGAACTCACGTCTTCAGCGAGAATGCGATAGACATACCAAGTCCATGGGAATATCCTTCTTCTTTTTCTTCTTCTTCAAATCACCAAACATCGCTTTCAAGTCATCATCCTCCTGCTTCTCCTCAGCACCGTCCTCAGCAACCACATCCCCGTTCTGCTTCATCTGCTCATGCATCGTCTTGGGGCCCATATCCACAGCCTCGCCATTGGCCGTCGTATCGTCGATCGTCGCAGGCGGAGGGGCAGTGGGATCGGCTTCAGCACCGAGCGGGTCCTCCGAGAACGCGACAGTCTTCTTCTTGCGCTTCTTCAGCGACGGGTCGAATAAGGGCTCCTCGGACGCCATATTCACAATATCTGAGAGAGGAGTGGCGAGATGTGCGCGGTCACTGTCTACGGCGATGAGCTCGAGTCAAGGTCGAGCGACAAGCGCCCAGATTGACCGGCAGGCGATTCGCAATGAATCCGATTCGGACTCCGAGGGCTCATGTTCCCACGGGGTTCCGCGCTGGCCCGCTGTCGGTCGCCGCCGACGTTGCACCCGTCCTCCACTACTTTCTTTCTGTCGTCGACCACCATGCTCGCCAGGAGCACGCTTCGTCTGGCCGCCCAGCCCCCCGCGCTGGGCGCAGCCCCCGCTGGTGCGCGTAACATGGCGACCCTTCGTGAGATTGAGCTGCGTCTCAAGTCTGTGCGGAATATTGAGAAGATCACCAAGGTGAGTAATCGTAAACCTTTGGCTTCGTTACGGAGGGGTACAAGACCGAACTGGGGAGGGATCTTTGAGGGGGAAACTTCGAAGTGCTTTCTGACAGCATTCGTTACTTCCAAGCCGGGTATGGCTCGTGCCGCCCGGACATAGACCGTACGGTGTGCCATATGTGTCTCTGGCGGATGGAAGACGGTTCGTTTCATATGCGCGCTGTGGTATGGTACCAGTGAGGGGCCATCGACCATACCATGGCTTCAAGACCAGCAAGGGTCGCGAGTAGTAGCCGGGGAGCACTCTGCTAGTGCACAAGTTATTACCATTGCATCGGACGAAAGTGGAATTATGGAATTGCACCCTTCAATCGCCTTCCCTTTCCTTCCGTCACTGCCTTGCTGAATGCTGAATACTTGAATTTCAGTCCATGAAAATGATTGCCTCCACAAAACTCAACAAGGCGCAGCGTGCCATGCAGGCGGGCAAGCAGTACGGTGTTGCGAACTCGGGTTCGTCAAAAACCGACAAACAAACTGCAGCACCTTACTGACCACTGCTCGCCTTCCCAGAGGTCTTCCAGCACGCGTCCGCCGAGGAGCCCAGCAAGCGCAAGCTCTTCATTGTCATCTCCTCTGACAAGGGTCTCTGCGGTGGTATCCACTCCTCCGTCACGAAGGCCACACGCCGGATTATCGCCGCACATGGAGACGGCGTCGAGCCGGACTCGCCCATCATGGTCATCGGCGACAAGTCCAAGGCGCAGCTCTCCCGTGCACTCGGGAAGAACCTCGTCATGAGCTTCAACCAGATCGGGCGTGACATCCCCACCTTCGCGGACGCGGCCGGCGTCGCGGACCTGATCATCAAGGAGGCAGTCGAGTACGACAGCATTGCGATCGTCTACAACAAATTCGTCTCTGCGATCTCGTACGAGTCGGCCGTCATGGAGGTCGAGACGGAGGAGACGCTGAAGAGCTCGCGTATGTCATTTATCCTATGGCAGCATGAAACCCCGTGATAACACACACGTCCCAGCCGGTTTCAAGGCCTATGAGATGGAGGAGGAGGTCACGAAGGACCTCGCCGAGTTCGCGCTCGCCAATGCGATTTACGCTGCCCTCGTCGAGGGCCACGCGTGCGAGCAGAGCGCTCGGTAAGTCGACCCCGCGTAGCATCCGACGATCCTTGCTGACGTGCTACAAGTCGCAACGCCATGGACAACGCGTCCAAGAATGCTTCGGACATGATCGGCAAGCTCCAGATGCAGTACAACCGTGGTCGCCAGGCCTCCATCACGAATGAGCTTGTCGACATTATCACTGGTGAGCACCGACTCGCCCTGAATATGAGTGCGAAACTCACGTTTCTGCCTCTCCAGGTGCAAGTGCGCTCTGAGTGTGGTGGCCGGCCGTGTGCGTACGATAGAATAGTGGAAATCTGCGTTCATGTCCTGTACCTGAGGGCTGGGCATGAACCGTCACATTTGATTGCTTCAACAAGTCTGGTGTGATCAAGTCTCCATTCGTGAAGGCAAGGTATACACGATCAGCCGAGCAAGTTACTGTCAGGTAGTTGGACAACGCCAAATGCAGAACGCACCACCATCCTTTGTCGGCCTTGCTATCAGTCAGACGGCGGTTGTCGATAAACGCAAACACAGTCGATATACTTGTACAATGCTAGCTAGGGCTGTGGAAACAGCGGCGGCGATTAAGGTTGTCTGGCGCTGAGTACGGGATACTGTAGGAAATAAGCTGCAACAGACGTACGAGACAAGACAAAACAAATCGAGGGACAGACAGTGGACGACAAAACAGAGTAGATGACAGACATATTCACGCAACATGGATAGGCATGGTAGCAGCTGAGCATGGCTCACGAGCCAACGTCGCCAATGCGAGTGAGTGCGGCGCGCCGCTTTTTCTTCGGTGGCTCTTGGGCCTCCTCGCGGGGTGTCTCGCTCGGCTCGCGTGTCCCCAGCACGCTCTCGTCCACGCTCGGCGCGGGGGTCAGCGGCGGCTCTCCTTCCGCCTTCCGTTTGTTGCCCACTGTGGGTGTCAGCGCTGGCAGGTTAGCGGACACCCGCGATGGCGTTGAGAGGGGCGTAGCGGCCGTCGAGTTCGTCAGAGGGAGCGAGTGGTGGTGGGCAATGGACTGGAGCTGCAGCGTCTGCTGTTGCGTGTGGTACGTCGGCAGGATTTCATCGAATACGACAATGGTGCAGTAACCATCGCGTGAGGAGAGCATCAGACACTGGCCATCGGATGACCTGACCAGGCGTCAGACCGCAAAAGGGTTGATGGGGGACAGTGCACTTACCATGTCATATCCGTGAATTCGTCATAGTGTAGCTTGGTGAGCAGGCAGACTGGGCCAGACTGCTGTGTATCGTAGATGGCCACGGTATCCATAGTCGCGACCGCGTACAGCATCCGGTACGGCAGCGAGAAGATGGAGGCCGTCGGCGTAGGTGTAGGCGGGATGGCCGGTGTACCACCGCGCGATGTCATAGGCGTCGGTGGTTTCAACGAATCCGTCGCTGACAGAGCGGGAGACGGCATCATCATGCTCGGTGGGCCAGTCGGAATTGCGATGCGCGGTGAGGGCTGAACAATCGAGCCGCCCGATGGCGAATGCTTCGTGGGTGACAAGGGCGCGGGCGTCGCAAGGAACGTCGACGAAGAGGGCGTCGGAACGGACAGAGGGGCAACATCGACGTTCACATGCTCCTCCTTTCCTTTGCCGATAGCCACTGTCGGAGGCTCGCTCTGCTCGCCCGAGGACACGCCGGATCGCAGCTCGTAGAGGAATGGGGAGAAGCGCACCGCGACGCTCGCTTTCTTGAAGCCAGGGAGACGCGCGATGGGTGGGCGCGCGAAGTTGGCGCGGGAGTAGATATACACTGATGACGATGCCGTCTCCTTGGTCTCACTCGACCCGGGTGACGGGTTGCCCTTTCGCCCTCGCGCAGGTTGCTCGCTCTTGGATGAACCCGGCTGCACGGACGGATCCTCGAATTGGCCGGCAGGCGTGAGTAGCAGCCCGCCATCAGGACTGAATGTCAGACGCCTGAAGAAGTTCGTGTAGCTTTCGTCGCCGTAGAGCTTCACTGATGCCCAGCTGGCCGAAGCCTGTGGCCGGATGGCGGGAGTGCGGGCATAGGAGAAGGTGATCGTCCATAGCGCGAGTGCGTTGCCGGCGAGTGCGCAGCGCTGGTGCTGCTGAACGATGACCTCCGCGATGGCGTGTAGTCCATAAGCGGCGGCGGGAACATACTTGAGGGAGTACTCGGTATCGACGCTGTGGGTGTGAGCAGCGCTCCGCCGTGTTGTTGGCTGCTCGATGCAACTGATTCCTCGCGCAGCTGTTCGCTCGCGCTCGTGATAACGGACTCGGTCTCGCTCACTGTTGACTCGCGTCTAAACATCGGTGGGCGGCTGCGCGAGCTCGGCGTGCGACGATGACGATGTGGCATGCGTGTGTTCTTTCCGACTGCGTGGATGTCGAGGCCATCATCCTTCGTGGAGACGCTATAGATGTGCATGGAGCGGTCACTGCTCTGCGTTGCGAAGAACTCGTTCAGAGGGTCCCATGCAACGCCTTGAACATAGTGACTGTGCTCTGCGATTTCTTGCATGCATTTGCCTGAAGAACATCAATGTTTGATTCAACGCGCGGCATGCTCGCTCACCATCGTTGGTAGAGAAGATTCGCGCGCAATTGTCTGTGCTACCGGCCACGATGTAGTCGCCCGTAGGACTCCATGCGAGATCATATACCTGCATGGTCGTGCATCTGGAGCGCGATAAGCATTGAGGTCGCGGGTCACGAACGCCAACTTACCGGAATGTCGTTCGTGGCTTCCAGTGCTCCTTCTCGTATTGCAATTCATCGGGAGTGAGGTCGCTTCCAAAGGCATTGGCGTGCGGGCTTGTTGTCGGCGACCAAATGATGACCATACCATCTGAATATAGATTTCAGCGCGTCGTTACGCGTCAATCATCGCGCGACGTACCGTCCCCAGCCGAGGCAATGAGTTCCCCTGTTTTGGGTCATCAGCAACAGACGACGCGCACAGTTCGTGTACAATCCTCACCATTCGGACTCCAGCGTACGACATTGACCGGCGCCGAGTGTCTGCTGAGTGTAGCAAGATACTCGACTCTAGGCGGACGTGGTGTCGCGCCCTCCGATCCCGAGGCCACCACTACTGACTCTGGTAGGATGTTCGGGTGCACCATCCACAACTAATGGAGGCTTAGCCAGTATCGTACGCAATATTGACGCGTCTACTCACTCTGACATGGTTATCCTCTCCACCCGTAGCAAGCCTGTAGCATTGGGTCACAAAGTGCTTGTCGTCGACTGGACGCGCCTTCCTGAACGAAGCCGGTTGGAAGTCGCAAGTCGAGATGGGTTTGCTGTCGTGCCAACGGATCTCTAGTGTTCGTACGCGCATTCTGGACGTTATGAGCGATGGTGATAGTGTTAGTTCATGTTACAGGAGTACAAAGCCTTGTTCGCAATCACGGCCACTGTTCAACGAAGCGCTCAATACTGATCATACTATTCAAAAGAGGAAAGTCATGTGTTCACATCATTCGACATTGCCACCTCCTTCAGTCTTGCTTCAAACGTTAGTACATAGCCTGTCCTACTAGTAGGCCTACTATCAGGAATGCGTATGCATGGAGAGTGTATACGATTTTTATGCAGGTTGTATGTGGTTATCATTTAATTCTAGTCGGTATCAGCGTTTCGAACACAGGTTGTCTAACTGTACTTTACAGGCCCAGGCTGTGTCTTGGATGCGTATGTTAATCAGTTCTATCACATCAAGTAGTGGCCGCAGAGGCGCAGACTACAGGGCGCATCGACCGTTCAGCACTTAGACAGCTTGTTGACCTTGGCCATACATTTGCATTAGAATCGCTAGCAAAGTGCAGAAGATTCTATGCGCGAACATACCCTTCAATTCCATGTGGACTCGAGAGCTACTCGGGAAACAACTAGCATACATACAGTCACGCTCTACTCCTCCGTATATATGCACTCTGCTATCGGCCATAGCCTTGCGGATATTGCCCATATTGTTGGGGCGGTGGCGGTGGCGGCATTCCATACTGGTACCCAGTCTGCTGCTGCTGCTGCTGACCCGGAGGAGGCGGTGTTCCATATTGTGACTGATATGAGATAGGCGGAGGAGGAGGCGGAAATGGTGAACCTGCTGTCGGTGCTGGTGACTGATAGCCTCCACCATACTGTGGCTGTGACGATGGAGGCGGATATGAGTTCTGGTGCTGAGGCTGCGAGTACGGCTGCTGTTGCGGCTGCCCATACTGTGGCTGTGAGTATGATGGCTGGTACGCAGACTGCTGAGGAGCAACAGGGTATTGCTGTGACAATTGGGGCGGACGAGGTGGAGGTGGAGGGCTGGTGGCGGTACTTGACGGTGGAGAAGAGAAGGCCGAGTTGCTGGTGCCGAACGCGTTCAATGATGCATAGGGATCCATTGAAGAGCGGATGGCTGGGATTGATAGGAAGGCTGTGAGGGTGGGACCGATGGAGGTGGTGGTGGATAAGGCGTCCTCGCAGGTTGTGACTGAGGGGGTGAGGGATACTGGGGCGCAGAAGGAGCAGGCGTCGACTGCCATGAGCTCTGCGCAGGAGGTGGAGGAGACATCGGCCCGTTCCTGCCTTGAATGTTCATCGACGCGAATGACGCCTCCAGCCCTGTTGGCTTGGACTGTACTGGCCGCGGAGGTGGTGGAGGTGGAGGCGAAGACGCTGCCGATTGGGAGAAGCGCCGCTGCGTCTCCAGCTCAGCAGCCAACCTTTCGCGGTCCACGGTCCGCTCTGACACGAAGGATTTCGCGTTGCGTCGAAGCACCGTGGTGAGTTCCGTGAGCTCGTTATAGAACTGTAGACCCTTCCTGTTGGATGCAATCAACGTCAGCAAGACACCGTCACAGCGGCCAATGAAAGGACACATACGCAATACCGTCCCTGACTTCCATGTAACCGTCTCGAGCACGTGAAAAGCGGCGAATAGTATCCTTCTTTCTCCTTTCACGTTCCTCCCATTTCTTCGCCCCAGGTCCGCGACCGGCTAAGTCCTTCAATGCACGCCAAAGGGCGGAGACTTCTTGAATCGTCACCTGTTCATGATGAACGGTCGCCGTCAAACGTTGTTGGTAAGGCTTGAACTTCTCGAGTTCTCCAGCAAAGAGATTGTTCTCGACACCAGGGTTACGTCTGTTCAGAAGCAGGAGATGCGAGACGTCGTCCGCTTGAACCTGATACCCGTTAGCATGGACAGTGTCCCGATGTGTCAAAACGACTCACCTTCTCCTTCAGGTCTTTCAAGACCTGGTGACGCTCGTGAGCAATCTTGTTCAGCCGTCCCAAGCGCTCCTCAATCTCGTCGACCAACTGGGCGATCCGCGTACGTTCTTCATCATTCTGAGCATCGTTGGTCACGTCCAGGTCAAGCAAACTCTCAGAGCCGGCCCCGCCACCGTCCGTGCTGGCCCGGAACACCTCTTCCACCTGAGGTGACAGCAACAGACGAATCTCTCCCTTGACGGAGTCCCATAGTGCAACCACCTGCTGATCGGACTGAGCTGCAGCGTCAAGCGAACCCAGATGCGACTTGAGTTCCTGGCGGAACGATTTCGTAAGGGAGCCTGACGGTTCCTGCGTCCAGAGATGATCGTACTTGACGCGCATCGCCTCGCAGTCCCGGCTCTCCGTGTCCAGCTCCCTGCTGACGCCGTCGAGCTCGCCCTTGACGGAGTCTTTGAGCTTCGTCAGCTGTCCCATGAGCCTCTCGACGCTCTCCCGCTCTTCCATGACCGCTATGTCTTCGCGCCATCGACGGACCTCCAAAGGCACCTCTTCCTCGCCGCCCACACCACCTTCGGCGATAGCCTTGAAGCGCGCCAAACCTTGCTTCACGCCCAACGATTCTAAGGCGCTCTTGACCTCCACTTCTGCGTTATCGGCTTTCTCGACCTCGCCACGGACCAGTTTCGCCTTCTCCTCGGAGTAGACACTTGCGCTCTCGTGGACGCTCAGAGGGATAAGACGGATGAACATATCCGGCCCTATCACCTTTTGCACCTCCGGTGTCGCGTAGACCTCCTGGATTGTGATGGGCGTCGCCACAGTCGCCTTGTCAATCTGAGGCAGGGCCTCGGCGGCAGGGAGGACGGCATTGTAAATCAAATCGTTTTCTCGCTGCGCCTCGTTCTTCTTGTCCGTGCAGAGAGCCAGGTGTGCCTTCGTCAGATCGAGTATTGCCGAGCCAGCGTCAGAAGGCAAACTGGGGGACATCTGCGTGACGAAGATATTGGAAAAGGATGAGGCCGAACGGTTTGCTTCCTTCGCTGCCGCTTCGGCTACCGTAAAACGGACCAGTGCATCGCCGTGCTTTCCGGCCGCACTGTCTGCGAGGGCACGGTAGTATTGCGCGACAGAAGTGAAGTATTTGGCCTTGATCTAGGTGCTCTGATGAGCAACAACCCAGTAATAACAGTAGATGACATACTTGTAGCAAAGTGACCCAATTGCGATCAAAGATGCCCTTGCCCATGAACTCCTTCACCTCCTCCGTGAGCGACGTGTACATAAAGGCCGTCTGCGACGCGATCTTCGCGACGAGGGCATTGCCCTTCTTCTCGTCGGTGCATTTCTCGAAGAAGACTTCTGTCGCTTGCGCGAGGATGATGCCAACCAGGAACTTGACGACCTCCCGACTGAGGTCGGTGGAAGGGCATGGAGAAGTTGTCATTGATATATGTCAGCATTCCCGCACACGTCCGGAAGTAGTAGAAGGCGCGCTTCAAGCCCTCGGGGTCAGAACGGTTCTGAGAGGCGCGATGGCAGAGTGGGTCGCCGCTATTTGGAAGATGATGGAGCTTTCTCGTAGGCTATCGATGTCTGCGTTATGAGCTTGTTCGTGAATGCATCCCGCCACGGGAAGTTAACGCGGATTTCAGCGAAGCGCAGCTCTAGCAGTTCCAGCTGACCGAAGTACTTGTACAGCAGATCGCGGGCTATGTTGAGAATTCAGCAAAGAGTCACAGCACAGCAAATTTCATGGCTCACCAGTCATATCGCTGCCTGCGCCCTTGACTGCATCTTGTCTGCAACGCTGCAGGTTCGCGTACTCCGTCGCATAGTTGTCCGGATCCTCTCCATATGAGTGCGAGATCGCACTTCGAATCGGAGTCGTCCAATCCACCTCCTCTGTTGACTTCTTCAGGATAGCTACCATTGGCGAGTTGTGCGCCATCTTGCAAGCCCGGTCGATCGTCAGTCTTGAATACAGTGACGGTGTCCCTGATACCCGGCCGCTATGAAGCCACCCCGGTGTCCAACCTGCTACTCAAGTGTTGTAATGACCAGCAAGAAGGCAGCTAGCTTTATAAGAGGGCAGGAGTATAACAAGTGGTGTAGGATGGTTAACACAGTTACAAGTGCACGACTCCGAGCGACTTAGCCGCAGCGCGTACGTAGATACCACGTGACAGTCCATATTTGGGACGGGTTAGAGGCCAATAGCCTTGGATCCTAACAAGCACAAATAGTATCTCTACGCCGGCCCAATACCGTGACAGCGCTGGCTTGCCAGCGAAAGACCCACACTAGACCGTCATGTCTTTTATCATAGGACCGGTCTCTGGCGCACTTGCAGCGGAGGGGTATGTTGGACCATTGAGTATGCACGTTGTAGGAAACTGAACGGCTGTTCAGGTGTACTATGGCTTCTCTACTATGATCCAAACACGGTGAGGAATAGTTTGATGCATGGTGCATACGCGCTTCTCATGGTTCAACTTCAAACAGTACTGAGCAGCATCGTTCTGAGTGAGTGTACTGCTATACAACAGGATACCAGAGGCACTGGGCACTATGCTGCCGCGGATGTTGTGCCTACATTATCGCGCGCGGCTATCGATTGGTCACTGGCATGTACAAGTCGTATCCTCGTGCTCCCTGGGCGGACGTTCGTGTGCCATGTCGCTCGAGCACGCAGATTTGTGTCTCCGGATTCCTGCTGGTTCATAGGAGTTTGGCTGACGCAGGACGCAGTTTGCACGCGCTTTCACGGCGGTTGGTGGAAGCCGACACCATCGTTCCTGCACCACCTCCTGCCTCAGAACGCATCATCCGGCGGCCGTTCACTGCCATGCTCAAGCACCAGTGGAACACGGAGGTCGAGGCGCTCTTCCGTTCCGCGGGCGATTGGGACCGGCGTGTGGTGGACTGGGGGCGGAAAGTGCTCTATGGGGGCGGTGCTTCGACTTCGGGAGGAGCTAAGGTGCACTGATTTTTACATCATATTGTCGCGGTGCATTCATTCCAGTGGGAGTGTTTTGGAGTCCACGATGCCCGAACCATCCCGGATGTATCCAACAATCAGGCGCACCCATTTGGTCTGTGCTTACAGACGACTGCATAACGCTTCGGGTACTCATGGTCTGAACACTCAATGCAATGAAGAACGCGCCGATATAGCGCCGATACCTAATGCCGTCAACATGCTCAACGTTTCATTTCGCGCATTATTGGATTTAGTCTTCGTTCGCGCTGCCAGCACGTCCCGGCGGCCATCCGATGAGCGGTACAGTATCTCAGTGGCGTATCAACTCAGCAGCAATTCCTTCCATGAGAGCCCTGTTTTGGGCGTTTGAAATGTAGTTCTCTGGTGCGCTACTCGCTTCAATCACCATCTCTTTGAAATGACTAATTCTTTGCACCCGCCATCGTCGAGACCCTGTTCCAGCTTCACATCCTGTTGGCCCCTTGTCGCTCATTTACACATGGATGCGACATTGTGCCGATGCGGAAATGCATGGATCGCCCTGTATACCCTTGAAGAGCCTCTTTTCGTATCTGCGATTTCCTCGAGAATGGTGGTGTACAGTGAGTTGATTGGCAACTCGACCTGAGGAAGATTTCACATACTGCAGGGGTAGTATCACTGGCTCATTGGGATCAACTATGCAACGAGAATGACTTCTTTTTACGTAGAGTCGGCGAACGAGCCCTCATGGCAGTGGAACTAAAAGTGTCGGATGCGGAGATTAAGCTCACCAGACGCTTCAAAGGGGTGGACCATGCCGTGACCATAGCCGGAGAAGAAGCGCACCGCGCATCTGAACGCCTGACGCGTGCTGTGTCCGTCGTACCTGGTCTCGTCATCGCACCGTGTCTGACATTGTCGTTGACTTCCTCATGCAGAATCGACGTGGTGAGCATAATACAGTACCACAACGGCCACTGTTATCCAGGTGCTTCTTCTCGTCTCGCAACATGTACAAACTCATAGCACAGAACGTGCGCCGATCGTTCAGTGCGCCCGGCATGGCCTTGCGCGATGCACGACGTTTCCCTTCATCTTCGGCGAAACCAGGGATTCTAGTCTCCTCCCTACCTCCTCACTCAAAAACACCGCATTGCAGAAACACAGCCATGCTCCTTGACGGCCCGAATGTGCAGCCCGCATAGTAAGCACGATCATTCCGCCACCAATGGGTCCAGGACTAATAATAGTGCCTCGTCATAGCTGGCCCTTCGGGTGGCCGACGGAAAACTCTCAGGGACAACAACGGTTAGGATTTCGATCGAGGTGTCCTCGAGTCGGATCAGAACATCACGGCAGCTCTGCTCGGAGCCAATGATGTCGAGTGCAATGGTCAGAAACCTTGGCTGCGCACGGAAGCGTGCAGTTTGTTTGGTTCAGTGACACGCAGGGCGTCGATATGATCTGTGGAAGCTTAGTGAAGGTGTGTTTCCTTAAATACATGTTTATGTTGACTCCTATGTGAATTGAAATCGCATTAAGCCACATCTAGTTCTAAGCATGCACGCAAGTAAAGTGTCTCCCAACCATAGTGCTAGTGCACTCAAAGCGCGCACAGAAGAACGATGGAAGTGTAAGAATAGGTACGAAACGCCGTATCCTGTGCGGAGGAAAACGAGGCGCGCACCTCGATGAACGTGCGGCGCTCATCGGAAGTAGTCAGGTTGCAAGAAGGGCGACTCGGCCACACATATCGCAATTTTAAGTGTCCGCGCCCCATACCCGTCCTTTCCTACCATGCGCACTGATGAACATCAAGGCTTCTCAAACGGCTTGGATGTGGTAAGCGCGGCTCGATGCGGCTCGACGCTGGCCCGATTTTCGGCATAACCAATACAGTATACAGTACATCCAGGCCATGTGCCGCTTGTTCAGTAAGCATCCGCACATTGTGACCCTCTTTGACGTCGCTCATGTCGGCCTTTATGCCCCACAAGGAACGTGTTTGCTTGCTGCCAGCGGTTGACACACCAGGAGTACCCTGGCCCGCTGCACTCCTTGCGGTGTAGGCTGCGCGCTTGCTGCCTGATGATCTACAGGCGAGCACCATGGTGTGCTCACGCAATGCATCGCGGGGCTTGTAGGTAGACCTAGAGCGCCAGCTACTCTATCACTGTAGCTCCCGGACTTGCGTTCAAGCGGCTCCCCGCGGTACCGTTTCCTGGACAGTGTCGTTCAAGCAACCTTCACCTCCGGTACGCGCCGCATGTACTTACGTTATGCAGGAAGCGGCGACGGCGTTCTACATACGCGGACATTCAACGGAAACGGTAGCTCTTGGCGAGTAGAGTTTACCCTCACCGAGTTAGGCCTCGGACTCGCTCCGGTTTCAGACCGTTGCTGACGAATGTGTCACAATTCTATTGCTATTAGGCCTTCGCCGGAGCACCCGGTGTATCGATCTCAGACCGGAAGTGCACCCAGCCTTTCTTTTCATCTGCTGATTGGATAAGCTCACACGGAGGGCAGTACACTCGAGCTCATTCTGGGAGTTCTGTATCACTTCGTGTTGAAGCCATTCCCTACGGTGTTGTGTATACTCGTTGACATAGTTAGTAGACGGTGGTAGAGAGCGAGTCGGCGTCCACGCCGACCCAGGCCTGTTGCCATAGCGCGTTCTAAGGACGCCGCAGTGGTTTTGCAACACCGTCAAAAGTGATTACCCTGTGGCTTCATGATCAGGGATTATTGGTGCAGTTGCCCAGATGCTGAAGGGCAATGTCAACTTGTCGGTGGCGTCCGAAACCTTGCTTCGGATCGAGCATGTGTCCAATTTCTCTTCGTGTGAGTGCACTCCCGTACTAAGATGATGATCATGACTTCAATCCGCTTAGGCTTCTAAAGGGTAGCCGTGTTGTAGTACTTCGGCGGCACGAGGAACTCTTTGCTACCGTGTTCCGGCCTGGCCACGGCTAGTTCGGCCACAGATTTCGAAGACACAGATGTGGCATGGCAGCGTCTTGCCGGCACAGGCCTACTTGTCGTAAGGTATGGGTTTCCATTCCATCCGCCTATAAGAGAGGGGCTTTCCGTCAGCAACCCCAAGCGTCTCCGGTGAGCTCATCCAACGCCTACACCGTCGTTAACGTCGACATTCTCTTGACATGCGAACCCTCGCTGCTGTCGTCGCGGTCAGCATCTCTGCGCAAGCCTTCCTTGGGGTCTTGTCGCAGGAGGAGGTCACCTCTCCCGCTCCAGGGGCTCAGCCATTCAGCTACGATATCAACACTGGTCTCGTCGCACAGCTCCAGGCATCAGGGGAGTCTGCGCCCCAACTTCAATATACGACCGAGAACGGCGCGCCGTACACCAACCCCTACGATGCCTGGAAGATCGGTTCGAATGGTGCGAAGAGACTGTACACCTCGCTTTACTCTGTACTGACCGTGTCGCGCAGGGCCCCTTCTCTTGGAGGATTACCACCTGACCGAGCTCTTCGGCTCTTTTGGTCGCGAGCGCATCCCTGAGCGTGTTGTGCATGCTAAGGGCGGTACGTACCGATGCCTAAAACACCCATATGTGCTGTAATTGATCCTTGGTACTTCGACTAGCGGGCGCACATGGGTACTTCGAGGTGACAATGCATCCTTCTGCAAGCAATATACGATGCTGTACGTGTGCCGTGTTAAGTGTGTTCCGCATCACTGATCCATTTGGCACAGGGATATGCTCAGCGAGGTACTTCTCACAAGGTTACCTGTCCCATCTACTCTACTGATGCTTCCGACCTAGGATGGTCTCAGGACGCCCGTGACGGGTACGTCTACGCATGCGTCGACTCGACAAAAGGGCTAACCAGTGCATGTGTCTACAGTCCGCATCAGCACTGTTGGCGGGGAGACAGGGTCTTCCGATGAGTTTCGTGATCCCCGTGGGTTTGCGGTCAAGTACGTGTTAGTGGGATGCGGAGTACTCCGTGCTCAACATGGTCTAGGTTCCGGACTCGGAAGGGCATCCTCGACATCGTGATGAACAGTATGTACACGCTCGTTCCATCGATAAGACAAATTGCAATTGATCATTCGAACCCCACAGATACACCGGTGTTCTTCATCCGTGATCCGTCCAAGTTCCCGTACTTCATTCACGTATGGCCTCTCTTCTCGCTTATGGCCCACATCGCTGATGCCGGCACGCTCGCTACAGACCCAGAAGCGTAACCCTCAGACAAACCTAAGGGATAAGGAGTACGTCTAGCAATATGTGCGGTCTAATGACGCTGACCCTGGTGCAATAGTATGTTCTGGGACTTCCTCAGTGCTAACCCGGAGTCATTGTATCAAGCGATGATCCTGTTCTCTGACCGCGGCACGCCGTACGGCTTCAGACACATGAACGCTTGGACAGGACACACCTACCGGTACGGAGTTTCGTTTTTAGAGGCTGAGAAACTGCTGACATGCATCAATTACAGATGGATTCAGAGTGATGGCTCTTTCCACTACGTGAAGTTGAACTTTGAGACCATGCAAGGGGTAGCTCACTAGCTGTACACCGTGACTGACATTTCGCTTACTACGTCATTTGCAGGTCAAGAACTTCACCAATGCAGAGGCAACGGTCATTCAGGGTACGTACAGTACCTGCTCTGTCTGTCACAGCATTCTGATATTTCGATCGACCCCAAGGCACGAACCCGGACTTCGCCACTCAGGACCTTTACGAGGCAATTGCAAATGGCTCCTACCCCGGGTGGACAGTGTACGCACAGGTCATGTCTCCTGAACAGGCCGAGAACTACACATACAACGTCCTTGACCTCACTAAGTGCGTTGGTCCTCTGATCAATGCTACTTACTAGTATACTTACCTTCCTCCGAAGGGACTGGGATGAAACTGTTCCCAAGGTCGAGATCGGGAAGATGTATCTGACACAGAATCCGACGAAGTGGGTTGCATTTGAATGTGCGCGATCGGGCGTGATGCTGATCATTGTGGTCAGCTACTTCGCGGAGGTTGAACAAGCCGCGTTCTCACCATCCCACCTTGTTGATGGATGGGCACCGTCTGCCGACCCGATGTTGCAAGCGCGTTTGTTCTCTTACTCTGGTGTGTGTCTGGCGATATCTAGACATGTTCATTCGCGCTAAGACTCGATGCAGACACTCAACGATACCGGCTTGGCGTCAACCACATGGTTAGTGAGATTCCCTTTTATTTTTGGGGCTCAGCGATAAATCTATATACAGCAAATCCCTGTGAACGCTCCTACTGTTCCCGTTGGTAAGCTTAAGCATCAGTCTGCATATGCAAGGACTGTGCTGACTTCAACAATCAGCCAACTGGGAGCGCGGTGGTCATATGAACATCAACGGCAACCAAGGTAACAGGCCTAACTACATGTCTACGATGAGTCGTCTTGGATTGTACAATCGGACCTACACTCTCGATTCCCACCAGCAATGGACGGTGCGTACTTTCTTCTCCCGTTCCTCTCGGTCTATCTCACGATGCATATTTGTAGGGTGGTGCTGTGCAGTCGCTTTCCATGGTCACTGAGATCGACTTCTCCTGGCCGACGATCTTCTGGAATACCATGTCCGATCAGGACCAACAGAACTTGATTAGGTATGTCTACCCGCAGGATCGTCGACTTTTCTCACAGATGCTGAGATCATTCCCACCCATCCAGTAACGTGATTGGCCATCTCGGTGAAGTCGTGAGCCAGGAGGTTCGGGAGCGTCAGGTTGCTCTGTTCAATCATGTCAACGCAACGCTTGGCCAAGCCATTGCAGCAGGTGTCGGCGTCACGAACATTCCAAAGTTGGCCTTCGAAAGCGGAGAGACGTGGCTCGATCACACTGTCTACAGTAACGACAGCACCCTGGACTTCGTATAAAGCCACTTCGCTGCTCGCGAGCTGCGGGAAATGGACGCGCTGTGCGAAGCGTGTGGACTGGCTTTGTGATGTAGTGATCAGTGACGATGCTATTAGTATGACCGAACACTAGGCTCTCTTTATTTGCATCTCCTATGTGTTTCTGTATGGATGAGAAATGTTGGGAGTTTGATAATTGGTCATGGTGTAGATTCAATTCGTAGTACAAGTGGCATGTTCTTGTCATCTTCCAAACGCACCGACCTGCTTGTCTGAATTTGTGCACAAAGTCACGGCGGTCGTGGAGGAAGCTGTTGATATTTTCACTGTTCACCGGATTTTACCCTCGTATAATGACATGTCAGAACACAATGTATACATCGGAAATAAGTAAGTCCTACATATACTGACCTTGCATCCCAATGTGGTACGTACCAGAAACTACTCTCCCGGGATCTCGTTCAAGTTCGACGGTGAATAGATTCATGATCTCAGATCCTCGGCGCTTGCCGATCGGAGGCAGGCGGCCGGGCTCAGCCGAGCTCCCGGCTTGGAACGCTGGCAACTCTGTACGCCGAGGCGCCTAGATGTCGTGACTAAATGGAATACCCTCCTCCTCCTCCTCCTCCTCCTCCTCCTCCTGTGGCAATTCTGACTTACTTTCGGTCACGACTTGAGAAACCTGAATGTCAACTCATCATTCATCTACCTTCGTGATTGTACTTTGTGGAAGAAGGAGCTCAGTACGAGATCTCGCTCATACCCTCGTCAAGAATGTGGCGATCCAAGTTGCCCTGGCATACGTTATCGCGATATCTGGGAGAGTCGGACTCCTGTGAACAATGCCTGAGCGTGGTCTTCCCCGTCAATTGCTCACGACGCAAGAACACCATCTATAACAGAAATGCAAGTGTAGGCCCGTATCACTTCAGTTGTGGTTGGCGAAGTGTCACGGGTTCGCGGAAGGGATTAATGGACTCGCTGGCCTCACAGTCTGTTTTGGGGAAGCACTGTTCCATGGTCTATCGATCGTCGTTAGATTCGGTGCGGTACCTGTAAGCAGCTACATACCTGCGACCCTTGCCACGCTCTAATATGGTATACAGAGAGCGCCAGTTGTGTGCTGGCGTCCAGGACGGCCGGGCTGTCCGAAGATATCAATATGCGAGGACTCCTCGTAGAAGCGGAGAAGAGGTCAGTTCAGCTCTGCGCGATCTGATACCTGCCGTCAATCTTTGAACACCATCGGAAGCATGAAGCATACCTGTGTTCAATACGCGAATGTTCAAGGTGATCGGGGATTGGGAAATCGAGACTGTACAAGCGACCTAATTCTACGTGAAGAACATCAATATTGCGGCGCTTCAGAAGGTTCGACAGCGACTCATGACTCCACCGAAGGGTGTACACGCACTGAAGGTGGTATATGGCAACTGTTGTCCACATATACGCAAGGCTGAGTCAGTTTGTAGGGGGCGATAATACTCAAGTCATAGAATGCGGTGACCATCGCCTCATGAAATGCGAACATTTGATTTTTACAACACGTTGATCCGCAATAAGCAGTGTCAACGTCGTCTCAAAGTATGTCCACCTAGAATGCAATCACAATTCAGTGGTCCAGCTACTTGGACAAACGTCTGGCGAGGGTGACAACCTACCTTGCTACCGCCTGACCCCAGACGAAAAATTGATACCTTCTGGCACCATGATATCGGACCAGTGATTCGTGAGTCATGTCCTGGCCGTACTCCACTTCTTGTGATCAAAGAGGCTGTGCTGCAGGTGCATTGGCTTGGAAGGAACGGATAGTATTCGTGGCACTTGGTCACTAGCTGGTGGCAGAGTCCACGTCAGCGGTTAGTACGTGGACACTGTCCAGATGAGGACGGTCGGAATGGGCTCGTCGCCCGAGACGAGCCGTGTAGGCCCGTCGGAACTAGGCGTAGATGATGCCTCCGCTTACGAGTGGTCGATTGCTCAGGCTTTCCGGACAAGTCCAGTGATTAGAGCACGCCACCCGGTCCTCCGGACATTGAACTTTTGACTTTGATGATTAATCGACGATGATCGAAGTCCGATTCCGGGGTAAATGTTCTGTCTTCGTCGTTGCAAACATCGGCCCCGATCACTCGTACGTCCGCGACAAATGAGGTTCGAGTGTTCCGAAGAACGTAGTGCCGCAACGTCGCCTTCTGTGAGCCCACGTGGATCCAGAACAGACACCCTGGAGGCGACGTGAATTATCCAGATGGTCATAGCGGCTCCAGAGGCTCCTGGAGGCCTGTGCTGCGACTTCGGTGGGAGAGCGCGAATGGCCTAGAATCATCAGGAGCGCCGTCCACGTGAATACATCGCCAGCGAATAGGAGCACAATCCGCCACCAGGTCAACTCCGATGAGTCCCGGAATGGCAGGCGCCAGCGATCCGAGAAAGTTGGAGAAGAGACGCGAATCTCCGACGACGTGCGCCAGCGTTGAGCCGCAGCGGCGTTGACCTCTGGCCTCAGGCTGGACCCCACAGTGGCCATCGCGAAAGCAGGTATGAACGCTCTCCGCTGCAATATAAGACCGCTCGTTAGCGTCGATGCTGACCCTCCCCCTATGGCTCACCATAGCAGCGTTTCCGACCCCCGCTGGCACTCGATGCCAGGCCAGGACCGAGTGAGTGGCACCAACCTTCTGTCCATTCCACGAACTGAACATGGCCTAGGAGGTCCGGCCAGCAGGACCGTCGTTGGCCGGCAGCCCAGTCCGCTTTGTAGGCGGTCAGTTCGCAGGGCGTACGCTTCGAGCCGTGCTAAACGAATTGCAGAAGGCAGATCTAGGCCGAAAGTGTGCCCGTCCTCTTCCTCCCGAAGTGCCAAGTACTGACGAATGCTCCCGCACCCTAGGTACGCGCGGAAAGACCGCAGGCCGCTGGACCCACCGCCAGTCGTCCAGTTCCAATTGTTCGAAGTGTCCAACGCCGGTACGCCCTCGCAGACTGAGCAGGAATTCGAAGACTACGAGTGCGCGAGCTTCCATATCTTCTGTCCAGGCTAGGTTCGTGGTTCACATCCCTTTCTCCTGCAGTGCGATCAAGAGTTTTGGCGTCCTCTGTCACGTCGACCTCTTCCCGGTCCCGGACCAGGATGGAGACCAGTCTGATGGCAGCGCAGAGTCGACAGCCTCACAGGCGAGCGCAAGCACTTTCCACGCCGCGGCTTTCTCTGCCCCGTCGCCTGCGCTGGGGCCGTCGAGAACCTGCGCAAATCCGTACCATTCAGGCTTCTCGCCTCCACCCTCGCCCGGGACCTATGTCATGCCCCAGCTAATGCCCTCGTCACTGGCCCATCACATGCATTCAATCCCGGCCTCTGCGCCAGACGTCCTCCCCTACCCGCTTCCGACAGGCACCGCACCGCTGTTGCAGCCGTTCTCCATGGTCGTGGCAGCTCCTTTACCTGATCTTTCTATACCAGGAGCGATCCCTGAGCCCATGAGCACCGCGTCGCCCGTGCGCGGTCAATCACCCCCGGGGCCGTTCGATCCCGACATCATCGCGTACATGGGCGACTTCGCCATACGAGAGAGCTCCAAATGTACCACAGACCTCGTAGGCGCGACCTTCGTGCAGTCCTCCGGCCTGGAATACAAGGGTAGGAAGGCGCTTATGTTCGTGTTCTCGGTGAGTCGCGTGTTTGGCTGGACACGGAGCGCCAGCGCTGACGCATGCCAGGACCTTGCAGTGAAGACGGAAGGGACGTTTATACTGCGCTATCGTGTTTTCAACATATTCTCGCGAGCATCTGCGGTAGACATACCTATTCTCGCCCAATGCTTTGGCGGGCCGTTCAAGATCTACCCGAGCAAAGAGTTCCCGGGCCTGCGCGCCTCGACGGACCTCACGAAGGTAAGTGCACATGCTGATCGCACCTCTGAGCTGCTGACGGCAGGCTAGCACATATCCCATTTCGGCGTACGGCTGAACCTGCGGGAGACGGAGCGCAAGCGACGGCGGCGCAGCAAGAGCCCGGTGGATAGGTCACAGGACAGCGCGACGCCTTCGTCGGGGGCGTCTTCGTCGTCTGCCACCACAAGCTCTTCTGATCGCAGCGAGTCCCGCGCAAGGGCAGGGAGCGTGCGCGTGACATGGACGGCTTCAGCGAACACAACGTGGACGAGTGACGGACGCACCAGATACTTGTACAACTGCAGCGACTGCCGCTTCGTCGGCACCCACCCGTCTTCTACCTGGTTTGTGCTCAGGTGTTCTGCGCACGCTTGCAACAGCCTTGCGGCATCTCCGCGGACACCCATGGGGCACTGGTGACCTAGGGTCACATTAGAGCAACATATCTTACAGCGGGTAATTCTCCTCGTCCGGCAAATCAATCCGGTCGACGATCATGGACGTGTAGTGTGGTTGAAGGAGTCGAGTCCAGGCAGGTTCTTGGAAGGCTCGTTGGGACGTTAGAAGTGGACATCGCGTAATCGCTCTCCATCTATGCAGCATATACGGACGTTCGGGTGGAGAGACGGACTACACGCGATGGACGAGGCGAAGTTCTGTTTGGTGGCTTGCTCGCTAACTGTATCACGTTATATTGTGTATCCATATGCTTCCGTCTTCATGCGCAGCTGTCAAAGCTGATGATGTCCCGCATTGCGGTGGAAATAAGGCGAACGGAACAAATCGCTAACGAGCAACTCACAATGACGAGTGCCTATTCGGTGTTCATGCCGGCAGCGCTCATCTGGCACGCGAGGTACTATGTCATCGTACACTTCGCTCATGTTGGTGAGCCACCTGACAAGTAGAGCAGCATCAATTGCGGATAGGTATTCCTGCAGAATGAACAAGGGACGCGGTTACTTTGAGCAGAAAAAAGGGACAGACTCGTGAAGCTTCTGCACTGTCGTCCTGGCTGCGTATATGCGCAGGGATCCTCAATCCGGGCATCAAACGTCTTAAACGTTTGGACGAGTAGCGAGGGCCGTCGGGGATCCGAAAAGCCTGGAAAGCGGCCCTTCGGGTCGCGATCGTCCCTCGCATGGAATGCGTTGCGCCCTGATCATCTGTGCGATTAAGTCTAAGGACTCGTTGAAGAGACCCGCAGCTCGCGGCCTCGCTACTTCTGATGCCATCACAGCAGGAAAAGATATGGGGCTGGTGGTGGGTCGGAGGTAAGAGGCGGGTACCAGAGCTGGGCGGGTGGCGGAGGTGCATGGCGGAGCTTACGAGATGGAATCTGTGCGGTTTCGAATGCAATGCACCACAGTGGCCGACCGCATCCATGATTTATGCAGTCCAACAAAACAAGAAAGGCCGCATTGTCTAGTCTGTAGCAGAAAATGCGGCGAGTAAGTTGTTTGAGGTCGCAGGAGGTGCACTGCGGACGCTGCGACAGCAGCGCGAGCATCGAGAAGTTGGGCATCTGCCGTTGAAAGCGGTGCACCAACTTGCAGTACGACAGGTTGAGTTCGTCCAAATAATTCATATCGTCAATCTGTGACGGTCAGCAGTCATTGGCTAAGTAGGAAGGTTTCGGGACCATGCACTCGAATGCAGTACAATAAATGCGCCAGTACTGAGTACCTGGCACCTGCTGAGTGAACGTTCGCCGTGCGAGGAATATCGATAGCATCGAGCAACCTCAGTGACACTCCTTCAGAAACAGTCCCATGGAAGACCAATATCAAGGTGAATTCGACAGGGTGGTCTATACACAATTCGCGTTCCTGCTGGCCCGCGAATGCGTTCTGCGAAGCCATTCTTCGGCTAGCGCAAAGGCAGGATGAGCGGAGATATTCTCATTGACATACCTGTAGCTGACGATCGTTCGAGAGATACCAGCCAGCAGATACACAGAATGAGCAGCACGTCCGAGCCAGGCCCACAGTGACAGCGGCGACGCAAGTCGTCCATAGCACCTCGAAGAACGAGGAACGAAACTGCAAACACAGGTTCATCAGACTTTAATCAACGACTGCACGGACTCACAGAACCTCGGCACAAGAGTGTGGACCATATCGTCGGCTTGCATTCAGCATCCCTTCCAATAAGTTAGAAACGCACAACAGGTAGTAACTAGTATATAGTGCTCCCTCGCAGCGTCGACGTCGAATTCATTAAAAGGTCCGGTTCCTGCTCCTTTACGCAGTCCCTGGATCACGGCAAGATCCTTCAGATCTTTCTGCAATATCTTCGTCAAATGCGCCAGCCCCGCCTGCTCCTCCGCCAAAATCTGCAACGTCGTCAGCCAATGCGAGCGCCACACACACCCAACCAGCAAAAAACACGAACCTGTGCAAGCTGCTGGAGCCCTTCCTCGTCGACGACGGCCCACTCGACGCCGCCCGCCCTGCGATCGCGTTCCCGCGCCGCCGTGACGGCGCCAACAAGCGCCCAGAGCTCGTTCAGCTTGCCGCGTATCCTGCCTGTCCCGCCAGGTCGGCGGATCTCCTGATCGATATCTTCCAGGGCCGCGCGGAGAGCCTCCTCTTCTGGCCGGATCGCGGACGAGCGCACGGCGGGTATCAGCAGGTGCAGGTGTTGCACAATCTTCAGCACGCGGTGCGTAAGCTGCGTCTGTAGCGTCGCGGCGCGATGCAGCCTCGACGCGTTTGACAGCTCGTGCGCTGAGTTAGGGCTTGGATCCGTGTACGGAGTTCCTATGCTGCTGTTGGAGTGCGGTGCGGACGTGAGATGGGGTTGTGACGGACCTTCAGTTTTCTTGGTGCATCGCTGCTTGTTGCGTCTGGGCGTCTACCCGTTTTTGCAGATCATCAAGCCGTTCGCAATCACAGGAACGAGACTGGAGACAAGGGATGAGCCAGCCGAAAGAGACTGATCGCATGGCCTGAGAAAGCAATTTGCGACGCACCAGCTCGGGTCTGGGTTCTCCCGTGTAGCCTTCTGCCACAACGCATCGTTCGTCGCGTTCCCCGGTCGCCCATACAAGTGTACCTGCGACGGGTCCACCAGGTTGTAGAAGTAGTGCTGCGCCACGACATCAGAACAAATGCGTGCAGTGTCACAGGCTAACATACTTGGAAACGACACTGCGGCGACGCTGGGTTCCACGCGTGGTAGATGCTCTCCATCCGCTGCTGCAGTGAGACGAACTGCGATTGGGCGTCTGCCTGCGTCTGCCCTGCGGGGACCACAGCTCGCGATGAGTAGAGATTGCCTTGAGGGGCACCGAGGAGCGAACCGCCTAGCGTGCTGCCGCCAAAGAGAGACCCGTCCGCTGTTGTTGAGGAGCCTGCTGTTGAGGGGCCTGCCCGAGAGTCGAGCCGCCGAAGAGCGGGTTGGTGCTCGGGCCTGCTTGTGGCTGGTTCCCGAACAGACCGGGGGCTTGATTCTGCGCATTGTTTGTGCTTCCAAACAGACCGCCTGACGGTGCTGGCGCGGGGTTTGTATTATTTCCAAATAGACCACCGGTGTTGGTCGTGTTCGTGTTCGACGAGCCAAAAAGACCGCCACTCGGGGCGGGCGCCGCGTTCGTCGAGTTGTTGCTGAACAAGCCGCCGCTCGTGTTGGTGTTCGTCCCTCCTGTGTTTCCAAACAGGCCACCAGTTGCACCGGTGTTGTTCGGCGCGTTCGCGTTTCCGAACAAACCACCCGAAGGCTGCGTAGTGTTCGTTCCTCCTCCTGCGTTCCCAAAGAGGCCACTCCCTGTAGTGTTCGTTGAGCCTGCGTTGCCGAACAACGGGTTACCTGTGTTGCCAGTCGATGTTCCTGCAGTAGGTTGGTTACCGAAGAGCCCTCCAGCAGCTGGTTGTGCAGACGCGTTGCCAAACAAACCTCCGCCTGACGTCTGTGTATTCGTCGTGTTGGTACTTCCAAACAAGCCGCCTCCAGGTTGTGTGTTCGTCGTGTTCGTGTTTCCAAACAGCCCTCCCCCTCCCGGCTGTGTATTCGCCGGGTTTGTGTTTCCGAACAACCCCCCTCCACCTCCAGACTGCGTGTTCGTGTTCGTGCTCCCAAACAGCCCGCCACCCGTAGTGCCCGTTGTCTGCGTGTTGGCTGCGTTGTTCCCGAAGAGACCCCCTCCAGCGCCCGGTGCCTGCTGCTGAGGGTTTCCAAACAAAGACGTACCACCAGTTGCTGGCTGTGACGCGTTGTTCGTCGAACCAAAGAGTCCTCCAGATGGGGCTGGTGCCCCGCTCTGTTGTTGAGGTTGTTGACCCGCGTTCTGCGGGTTTCCGAAGGAAGCGAACATCCTGGGTGACTGACCAATCGAATCAGTGATACGACGGTCAAGATTAATGCCTTACCTCCAGCAAGACGCGTCAAATGAACGTACTCTGCGGTTGTGGCTGCTACAGCAAGGGCGGCAGCGAGTGGCGCTGTTTTGTGAACACTACGGTCATGTGCGCTTATACGCCTCGACGAGCGCCTCCATTCCGTACCAGTACCTCTTTCTACACCCACCTATACTCTGGGGATTCTCACCAAGGAAATGTACCACGCAAACTATTCCTTTTCTATTAGTATTGACTGCGTATCAACTGCTACAATTTGGCCGACCTGACTGCCTGCAGTGGTTGCTCGCGCTCAGTACTCACCACCTGACAAGTAACACTTGCTTCGAAGACGTAACTTTCGCTCCATCTTCTCACCTGAGAAGACTGTATATAAAGCGCGATATCGCTCGCGATTTCACACCGTCCACCATCCGGACATCCATCATGTCAAACGCCAACACAGTACTATAACGCGGCTGGTGTGAGTTGACCCCAGAATGCTTTTCTCATTCCGCACGCGGCTGAATGAGAAAAGAATACTGGTGCAATGCACCCCAACGGCAAGGCCAGGATTCCTGTCAAAGACGTGCATACGGTGTACGGCCACCCCGAAGAGATCTCGCTGAGAATGTATCGGAACGCGGGCGTGAACGTCCGGCGCGGACGGAACACGCTCGTCACACCGCGCGACGTCGAAAGGGCCAGTGATGCACGGGATGCGAGGAATGCAAGGGAGGCGGGAAACGCGAGGGATACGAGGAACGCAGGGGGTGCGAGGAACGCGAGGGGTGCAAGGTCCAATGCGGGGGGTGCGAGGAACGCGGGAGGTGCGAGGAACGCGGGGGGGTGCGAGGGATGCGGAGGATTCGGAGGAGGAGGGCCTGTGGGAACTCCTTCACGAAATCGACACTGGGTTTGGCTGTGTGCCCGGTGGCGGGGCATACAAGGATTATTGAGAAACTACGGGTATGTACTCCAATCTCATGCCTGTTGCGTACCGGAGGTCTGACTATTTCCACATTGAAACCGGCAGCAGAAGGCATGGTCGCTGTCGTGTGCTTAAGATAAGTAGTATACTTGATCTTGATGCAGTCTTGAGCAGTTTCATTCCGCTGTATTAAGTGTCGCAGCCTTCATCAGTCGCACATCAGTTTGACGATTCCGATGATACAGCTGTTCATACAGATCTGCGTATCATTACATCCGTTCCTCGAGCTATATGATAATATATATCGAATGCGCGGGTCTAGAACGCACTCAGCACCTTCCGCATGACGCTACGGAACGTGCTGATATAAATAGGCTGCTGGGCAGCTCCCGTCGGCCTCAAGCTGCACTTCGCTGGAGCCAACTGGGCTGCGGTGGGCGACGCAGTCGCGCCCGCGGCTCCCGACGTTCCCGTCGCGGATGCACCTGAGCCAGCAGAACCGGACCCGGACGTCGTACTGTTCGAGACGTCGCTCGCTCTGTCACTGGTTAGCTCGGAATGTACTGTCGGCAATCGAAGAGACTCACGGGCAGAACGTCAGCGTGTAATCAGCGTTCTTCGATGCATCGCACGTCCACAAAGCGGACCCGCTCGACTCGTCGTAGGCATACGCGTACGCATCGGGACAGTTACTCTCTGACGATCACATCAAGCGTTAGATAGTGTATGGCCGCGATGCGCGCCGATGTCACTCACTGAAGAAACTGTAGTAGTCGACCCCGGATGGTGGACAGGTTGCGGCGGTGCCATAGCTCCCAGAACAGCAATTGGGCGAGTCGCCTGCAAGCTATATGGGCCCCGAACGTTCTGGCTAGGGAAGACGGACTTACTTGGGTTCCCACTGAGGTTAGCGTCGCAAGCACTCATGCAGCCGAGGACCGTGCCCGAAGAATTCGTTGGTCCCTTTAGGGAGTTGGGGCCTGATATCATCGTGAGACGTGGTGAGTGTGTCGCCGGAGAAATGCACGCACAAATTGCGTCGAGATCTACTGGACAGCTAGCCACCGAACAGCCGACGTTGTTGGTGATCGCGAGGGGCACGTTGAACCCATCAACGAGAGAGACTGTGTCGCATGAGACATCGTGCCGTCGGAGAGCGGGCACCGTATCGAACATACCGTCATAAAAGTCCGAGCTACCTGCACTCAAGGTCCATTCAGCCAGACTCGCGGGGGTGTTGCCCTAGAGTCCCGGTAAGTCCGGTCCACTAGTTATGTCTGCATGCGGCCTACCGGAGCAGTACATTTCAATCCTCCACTGCATGAGCCGGAAAGGCAGGTCTGGCCGGTGCTGCTGTTACTGAAGTCGCACGCGAGCCTGCCCTGTGTCGGACATCATGACGAATCAATGACACTGGGTCCCAAGCGGTTTTGCCGGCACATACCCAGATACGTCCGGAATCCCAGTCGTTGGGCACCGAAAAGCTCACGGAAGTATGAGGTTGAGCCTCCCACCTAGATCCAGCCAATGGTTATGCGTTATCTGGCTGAAGTCTATACGACTTACCCAGTCGGTTGGTCTGGCGCAGCTCCGGAAGAGCCGGTGAATATCTGCTCCGATTGTCATCAGTAAGTCATCATCCTCTGGCTCGTGGGAGGAGCTACGCGTGCCTCCGCGGGCTTGCATAGCCCCTAGAGACACGGGCGCCGATGTGTCGCACTTACAGCTGGCCTGATTACCAACAAAAGGCTTCAGTATCACTCCAATGTGATACAGTTCGACTCTACGCACCATACGGTGTACGAGCAATTGTTTGCTACCGTGAACGTCCGTGCCAGAGACACCGGTATCGACCCCAGAGCGAATATATAGAAGATTTTAGTCATATAGGACGTCGTTACTTGGTCGTGGTAGTGTGCTCTGGAGTTCAGCGGGTGGATAGAGGTGTTCTAATACAAGCAGGTAGGTGGCTGACCGCCGCCCAGGGCCCTCCGTCTTTGTCACGGGCAGCTAGAAGCCTACGGACAGTCACGAGAATCTCTTGCTGCGTATGCACGCTTGCGGTGCCGGCGGAGATTGCCTCGAGGTAGTAATAAGTAAGGAACAAAGATAGGATGTCATAACCTGCACGTTCGGCGGACGCGACTCGGACGCGTTCAGCGTGTACATAAATGCACGTGACTCGTTCCATCGTAGCCGCCGCGTCTATTAGTATGAACCCTCTGAAACGGAGCACTGATCACAACAACTTGAACCACTTCTTGTCAGCTTGGCTCAGGAAACGTACAACCCGCTGTATCTTTGTAGCTTCTCTCTATTCGATGACACGTCTAACCTTGCGGTAAGGTCCAGAACTGAGACATCACTCATCTGATCGAGTACGGCCGAACACAGTAGTACACAAAGTAACCGCCTTTCGATTGTCAGTCACTGCCACAACAGCCAAACTGCAAGGTGCAAATCGGACTTCATATGATCCTCTACTACCGGTTTTACTATGCAGTATGATGCACTGGTAGTCGTATGAAGTTTCAGGAAGCTTCTCCGAGTCGGCCGCGGCGCCGGTCATCCTTCTCCTCAAGCTCCCTCTTTCTCCTCAGGCCTCCTCCGTGTCTGCCACTTCAAATCGTGCGGGAATTATTCCCCGAATGCGTGTGGTTCGTTGTTGCGAATCCTACTCGGCTGTTACCAACGTCGTACACGGTGTAGAACCGTTCGAGCCAGGTCATTCCGTTGATGAAATCGAGGCCGCTCCCGGATACTGCCCCGTTGTCCGACACGACTAGATAGTACCCGTCCTCCGTGCCGCCAATGTACTTGTTCAACTGCCGGAGAAGTGGTTGGCGAGCATGTATGGGCATGTAATGCAAGGAACTTACTGAGCGAGGCCATAGCTGAGCGTCTCGAGTGAGCTCATAGACCGTCTGGGGATCTGGTAAGCTTCGTCGTTCATCTTTCTACCGCCAGTACTTACCCCGCCAATGTTAAAGTACAGACTCTGAAGCGCACCGTACTGTTCTTCGTCAATCTGTAGAAGTCCGCTGCTGTCATCCATGGTGGCTCCCGTCATGTTTTGGTAGGCGTTGAACGCGTCTATGGAAAATATCACTACCTGGTTCACAGGCAGCGAGATGGTACGGCACGCACCGGTGGCCAGGAGGAGAAGCGTAGTCCCAGTATCCACAATTCCAGATGTGGGACCCAGGATCTCCGTGTCGCCGTACATCACGCTCTGCTCGATCCCGACGTAATGGCTAGCAGGACTGGTGGATGTGATGTCGCTGCACCCAGCACCGTTTGGGAAGGTCTCTAATTCCGAAGATCGCAACACTCACACGTAGGTTAAGGTTCCTTTGTACTTGCGCTCGTCCACGCCACCGAAGGTGAGCTCCCCGTTCATCTCTGACGGTGTTGTCGACGGTGTGAACGAGATGCCAATTTCGTAGGCCTCTAGAAGACCTTGCTTGTATGCGTTATCCACCACGGTCGGAATGCAACCTGGTCCGGGAAGGAGGGTGCCTAGCGTATCTCTCAGCTAGGTCGTCTAGCACGGTCGGCTTCAAAACTCACTACAAGTGAGGTCTTGAGGGCCGATGCTATCGCATCGTGTGAGTGCGTGCTTTTTACGAGAAGGATTGAATAATCTCGTACCCAAGAATCCCATCGACGCCGCCAAATCCTTCACTCCAGATAGATGCACCTATACCTTGCTCGGCGATCGTCAGTCCAGGCGCCAGCGTGATCTGGTCCATGACTTCGTCTCCTAGAATGCGGATAATCTTTGCTAAGACACCTCATATGACGGCTATGCTGGAGTCTTCCTACCTCCGAAGAAACCAGAGCCATACGAGACGCACTAACATGTTGTGAGCCGGATATCCGTTATGAAGCGACTGAACGATTCTTACGACTGCGTTCGACGTGAGCTCAGTCGTCCCTGAGAATACGAAGGGGTTCGTGAGATTGGCACCGGCCCATGTATTGGAGCTACCGGTGTCAATGAGCAGACTGTCTATCAAACGAAAACACACGTGAGTTCAGAATCCCATCAAAGCACGACGAAGGCTCACAATTCGACGGCGGGTTCCCGATCTGAACCTGGACACAATCAAAAGTTGAGCTTGACGTTTATGCTAGCATGCATGAGACTGCATACTTCAGTAGTATAGCTAACAACTCTCGCCGTCGCAGGCGCGTTGACCATGGATGCAGCTTCCGTGGCTGAGCTGACGCCGGCGTACTTTCCCTGTGCGTTGTCGCGCATGAACTGCGCTCGCGCTTGGTCGAAATCAACGAGATTCGTGCTCCCCGCCTGTGACACGCGTCGCGCGAAGGGCAGGGCGACTTTGGACCTTGGGCCGGCGCCGACGGAGGATCCGCTAGCAGGTCAAGGCCGAGAGGCATGTCAAAGGGCGCACCCTGCGACGGTCGAAGCCATGTGAGGGCGAGAAGGATTTGGGCGACCTTCGACTTCATGGCGACTTCGCGTAGTGATCGACTGTTGTCTCAGTAGAGGACGGGGAATGTCGCTGTCATATTTCGTTCGTTTTTATGTTACCTGAGGCTGACGTCGTCTATGGAGGCTAGCATGCCTACTCTCTGGTATCGATTTGAGAACCAACCGATGAGGGTGAGTTGGATGTTAGCCGCGTTCCTCTCTTCGCGGTCGCTGTCAGCCACTTCTGTTGCAGAAATCTGAAATACGATGATCCATTCATGTAGGTATGGAGGGTTCAGCTACGAAGAAAGCTCCAGTATAGCAATGTAAAACGAGCAAACAAAGCAGTGCAAAACGAGTAACAAAGCAGTGCAGAACGTATGGATAGCTTGACTTTGGTAACAAATAGCATGGAGAGCAAGACAGCACCAGAAAACATTGAAAGACGGAAACGAAGTTCGTATCATATATAACACTGTCAGATCGCACCGTTGCAACTGGGACAAACCACAGGTGGTTGGTCCATCCAATCTTCATCTTCTAGCTCTTCCTCGCGACGCTGCCAGTATGGCAAGTATGGTGTCGCATAACGGAAGCTCGTGCCGATCTTGTCGCAGAGTTGCTGCGGGTCCAGCGTCGACCAAGTGTCATCAATATAGTCTTGTTCGAAAGCGGCATAGACCAGTCGACGTGCAAGGGCGACTTCTTCACATTCCCAGCAGGAGTCCAGCCATCCTCGCCGGACCCGGCCGCGGACGATGGGGCATTGGGCGATACGGACCAGTGCAGGAGGGAGTTTCGCAATGCTGTCCGACCGCAGCATCTCCGTGAGCACAGCGTCGAGCGGGAGTGGCTTAGATGGCACTTCCGAAGCACAAGAGTTGTGCCAGAATCAGAGTTGCCATCGTCTCGTATCTCGTCGTCGTCGTCTGGGTCCTGGGTATGCATATGCTCAGACCCGGCCTGACACGAGATTTCACGCAGGATACGTACCATCTTGACTCCATCCGTATAGTATGCAAGGAGCGGACAGTCTTGGGCGTCATCCGGGTCAACTGCGAGCAGTCGGACACCACGGTCACCAAGATAACGTTTTGCTGGATGCTCGACATTGCTCCAGCGGACGAGACACTTCTGATGATACCACTGCCGACAGGTCAAGCGAGGGCAGAAGTGCATTACCATGGCGTCCAGCTGGTCTTCATCCAGATGAGACGGGAACGGGTTGTACCCATTCTGATTGCACCGGCTTTGCATGCACATTTTGTAGCCAGGTTTGGGCTACATGCAACCCGTTAGGCTTGAATCACGAGAATTGAAAGCGTTGCAGACTCACGTCCACCAACTTCCGTGCGTGTGACAAAATTGATCTTACATACAAGGTGTCGGCCTGCAGTTCGGGCGGGTCCAAGCATGCCTCATCCCATTCATACAAGTACTTCACTGCTGCTCAGAGGTCATAGCTATTCAGTTATGAGGAGCCCTCGATGAATCTAGAACATACCAAGTAGGGATGCGGCTTTCTCATACGTACACCAATCGGATGTGCTCTCTCGTATGGGGCAAACCCGGATCCATCACTTGTATATATTAGTGAGAACAAGGCGGTGATGAGTGGATAGGCAGTGAGGTGAGTGACTCACAAGGATTTGATGAGTTCCATGAGATCCGAGCCAGACCAGCACCAGTGAATCTTGGCCCATACCTCATAGTCATCATCGTCCAACGAGGTTGCACGTAAATCTGTGATGATACCGACCCAGACGTTAGTAGTACCGTCATGTTTCGACGCAAGTATAGCACTGCTCAAACCGGACATCTCAGTCAAACACAACGTAGATTCAGGGATGTTTTCCGCACCTATCCCCCGGCTTGAAGGCCACATGTTTGGCCCGTACAATGGTACCATCATCTTCATTCTCGAGCAAGTCGGAGTCTACGTCTGATACCGACCCGGACTCGGACTCGGTATCCGAACCCGTTTCTGAACCGGTCTCTACTACGGCACTTCTACAGTTACGAAGTTCTCCACTATAACGAGAGTTCAACGTTCAGCCACAGCTTGATCGCCCCGCTAACATGAACAAACTAGCACAACAGCTCACCGTGGCATCTCCCAATCCTATACATGCGTAAGAACTCTTCTCCGTTGGCGAACCGTCAAAGACCTGTACATTGCACCTGTTCCTTGGCTCCACGGTCACAGTTGATTTGTTCCGACGACGCTTTGTCTCGGACTTCCTGGGCATTGCTGGTGTCTGAGTGACTTCTGATAAGTGTATGACAATCTGAAGCTTCGAGAGTCTTTACCTTCCAGCTAGGGAATCGCCCAGGACAGCTCCGAGTGTGGTTCAAGTCGAAGTGAGTGCCAGTGCCAGTGGCGAGCGCGTCGCGCGCGGGAAGGGAACGCGTCGATCAGGTGACTGGTCGATCTCCGCGCGGCGCGGACCTCTGAGGCTCTTTAAAGCCTCGCGCGCGCCAAGTCCCGACTTGCTCTCAGATCTGTACACTGCCCTAGGGTTTATCCTCTACCTTAAGTTGTGGATCTCTGACTACGCTCAGATTGCTCTTCCTTAGCAGTTGTCCATCCTACTTGGTGATGTCGGAGTCGGCGCGAAAAAGACCTCGTGTCGCACTGGATGGCGACGCGGAGAGGAAGGCACTGCAGAACCACCCCGCGCTCTATTACGACGACGGCAATCTGATCCTCAGCTGTGGAAGCACATTGTTCCGCGTGCATCGCTCTATCCTCTCAAGCACTCCCCCGTGTTCCGCAACTGTTCGAGCGTGGTGAGGACACAAAAACCGAGACGCTGCGAGGTGTCTGCATGTTGCTTTGGAGGACACGAAGGAGGAAATAGAGGCGCTGCTGAACGTCATATACGATGGCTTGTGAGCTCTTTCGCGTTTACTGTTGTGTTCACGGGCAGAAACAACGCCACAGCCGCATCGATTCCCGGAGTTGACGGTGGTCACCTTCCCTACGCTCGCGAACATCTTTCGCATGGCTACCAAGTATCGCATCGACCGTGCGCGGTCAGACATATTGAACCGATTGAAGGAGGAGTGGCCCTTTGATCTGAAAAAGCACGACGCGAAGCGCGACGCCCGACGCAGGCGGTTCTCCGGGTTCAGCAGCAACGTCAACAAGCACCCAATGCCGCGGCCGATCCCAACGTCAACGCCGCGTTCCTTGAGCAAGAAGAGCTCACCGTGCCACCCGCCACCGTCATCGCTCTGCTTCGCGATGGGGGTCCACCGACAAAGAGCTGCTCGCGCCACTCTTCTACGCGCTCAGCTGCAGCACCTGGCAGTTCGGCGGCCCCGCGGTCGGGCACCACATCGCGCCGCTCTCGCATGCGGACATCGAGCGGTTCATTGTCGGCCTCGAGCAGGTGCGCACGGTGTTCTCCACCATAGCGACAACGCGTCCCATCAGGGATGTTTTGGGTGCGCACGCTGCAACGAACTGCGAAGCTGGCGTGGTGGCCTTCTGGCAGTCTACGCTCGCGGTGCTCATGTCCTCGCAAAATGCCATCACGGCGCGGCGCCCTATCGAGGCATTGAAGGACGTGTTGACTTTGGTTAGGAGTCCGGGCCACCTGGCGAAGTTCGGTGTTTGTGCGCCGTGCGCCGGATTGATAGCTGCGCATATCGAGCGAGAGCGAAACGCACTTTGGGACAAGCTTCCTACACTTTTCGGGCTCGCGTAGGCGTATCGGCGTCCTGTCCTGCATCCGTTGTGGATATGACGCCTGAAGGACATCGTCACTCTCCGCCGCCCGTGTCTTCCGGATTGCTCTTCGCCTGGTTGGTGTCTGCTTCAGGAATTCAATGACCAGTGCCTCTACTCGGATAGAACAGACTAGTGCAACCACATTGTACATACACAATGGCCGTGCGTTGCTGTACTCACCTTTCCCCGTCTACTACTCATTTATCTGGGCCAACGTATCTCATACACCTCTTATATATACTGTGTATATCCACGTCATGTCATTGCATATCGTCGCATACTGTACGCACCTACTGATTGCTACTGCATACATATGGAACTCGTCTATGGTCGCATATGCATATGCGAACCTCCCGTCGAAACTCACGTACGACCAGAGATAAGTGCGCCGGGCGCGACGAGTCTGGTCACCAACTCCTTGTACAATACAAGATAGATGGTACGTTGTTCCGTAAAGACTTCTGGTTTTCGAGCACACTGCCTTATCATTTAGATGCATGCGACATCCAGTAACGAAAGCACGCGTATGCTAGCATGGCACAGATCGCGGTGCAGGCTATGAGCAGTCTGGTGCCGAATGCGGATGTCTCGTGTTCAACCTGGGCGCAGCCGCATTTATACCTGGTTAGAGAGCGTCAAGTCTGGAGACTCACCACGGACGCAAAGGGGGAAAGGATGGGTATCGTGAAGTGCGTGGGTACAGACCACCCTGTGGACGCCGAGTGGCGCACGAGAGAATACGAATGTATGATTGCGGCCACAGTTGCGACGAGGCAACATAGAGGAATATCTACGCACGAGGTCAAGCCGTACATTAGCGACACTGAAAGAGAGCTCACCACAAGTGTCTCCAACTTCACATGGCGCGCCTCGTATTGCCGCTGCAACAGAGCGAGTCGCGCTACCGGCGAAGTGTAGTTCGTCAAGGACTCTAAGCACGCTCCACGAGACGACGTGCTCACCGCGCGTTTCTCCTCCTCCGTGGTGCTCAACGCCAACAATTCGCCTTGGTGCGCGACGCGCGCGGAGAGCAGGGCCTCCGCGGTCAAGCGCGGGCAGCCCAGTACTGTTCCGCGGTGGTGGTAGGCTTGACACTGGGCGGGTAACTCACGCTTGCCCTCCCTGCAGCCGTAGTTGTATAGAGGAACCTGTGGTGGGTACCACGGCTCGCGCGTACATCATAGTTCGGCTCTGAGAGGTGGGTGAAGAAGACGGTAGACTGTCCTGTCCTCCTGCCACAGCGATGCCTCGTCCACTGGCATGATCAGGCTTCTTCAACTTGTTCATATGATTGTTCTCGTGATCTTCCCAGATTTTCAAGCTAGTAGGAGAGCGAGATAGAAACGGCTGAGATTGTGCGTAGTTCTAATCACCGCGAAGTATACGGGTCGCGGACAAGCACATGTGAGGAGGAGGAGGACAACGTCCGCTTGAAGCTGCACTGCAGTCCGTTTCGTCCCACACGTGATCCTGCTCAGGCTGCTCCATCGCCCAGTGATTCCGCTTGCCTTTCGCCACGACTTGTTCCAATACCCTCTGCATCTACTTGCCTTCGCTGCGAGGTCCGGAGAGGATACCGAGAAGGGTAGGTAAGTAAGACATCGCTTGTTAGTCTTCTTAAGCTTGATCATGCGCAGGTACAAATCCGTACAGTCTGATATGCCTGTTCCGCCGGCGGATGTCTTCGGGGTTGTATACATCATCGAAAATGCTCAGCAGTTTTGGTCTGGTGCGTCTTACACGTTTGTTTGCCACCGTTTACATCTCTGACAAAAGTGGGCCACAGAGCTGGAAGACATGCTCAATGTTTCCGACGGCCTGACCCTCGAACGACTAGATGCCACCCTGCGACGTTTCGTCTCGTTCTGCGCGGCATATCACGGTGAACGCAACTGTTATGGAGCGTAGACATATGTGACTGAGCCGACCACCCACACAGAACAGTACCTGCAAAGTCCATTGCAGATGGAGCACGCATGCGACCTCCTCATCGCCTCGGAGCTGTTCCAATTCCATTCCCAGCGCATGACCAGGATCTTGTGTGACGATACCCAGAAGGTGTGAACGTCCTGGTGCCCCCTGTGCTCCGCTGACCGTCGGCCACTCCGTAGGCCACAGACCCTCATCAGCAGCTCATCCTCTACGGCGTCCTGCTGGCCTACGGGAGACGGAAAGCGAGTTTCCTGCGCGATCAGAAGCGTTGGCAACCACTGCTTCCCTTGCTCATGGACAATGTCCTAGTGGATGTTGATCCGGACGTGGAGGATACGTTCTCAGGCACGACTTCCGGTGGGAGTGGGTATCAGCGGGCGGTCGCAGTACCGATCGAAGCCAAGCTGCGGACACAATCTGTGCGCATTCTTTATGAAGTCTGTAGAGTGCAGAAGATGACGATCCAAGAACTAGGTGAGGGCGGTGCGAGTCGTCTGTCACACTTGACGCTCATATAGCCCCAGACAGCTTCAGTGACTCCTTCATTGACTATCTGTTCGATCTCATCGAGCAGACACGGCATATGCAAGATGAGACCTTCAATTATTCTGTGATAAAATTACTCGTGGGTGTCCATTCCACGATCTATTGTAATCATCCGCTGACTGTACGTAGGTCGCTCTTAATGAGCAATTCATGGTGGCCGCGCTGCATTCTCAAGAAGAGAATGGTGGTGGCAAGCAAAACCACGGAGATCGTCACAAGACGGAGAACGACAACCGCGTCTTGCAGGTGCTTATGACACGGCGAGGGTCGAGCATGACGTTCGGCGAAAACATGATATTCATGCTCAATCGTGCCAGTAAGTTACCTCTCTGTGCTTGACTGCTCCAGTGCCCACCTTCTTCCAGGTCGCAGCCCCGAAGATCTCTGTATGCAATTGCTGGTCTTGAAGCTGCTCTACCTTTTGTTCAGAACAGAAGGCATGTCTGAGTACTTCTACACGAATGATCTTTGTGTCTTGGTCGATGTATTCTTGCGAGAAATCGGTAACATCGACGAAGATAATGAGTCGGTGCGTACCATAACACACTCTAGTTTGTCTCCGTGTCTGACGTTCTATTGCCGCAGCTTCGACATACATACCTTCGAGTCTTGCATCCGCTCCTGACAAAGACACAACTCCGTTCAATGCCCTACAAACGCGGACAGATCGTACACACACTGGAGTCGCTCATCGAGAACGAGTCCATCCGGGACATCGACCCTACGACGAAGCGGCTCGTCCTGCGCTGCCTTGCGGGCGACTGGTGCGTCCAGTTCCGCAAGAAGACCAGCGACACGCCCAGGCGCGTCGACAGCCCCGCGCTCTCCTCTACCTCTGCCATCTCAGTGCCACAGAGCATCAACTCGCCCACCACGCGGCCGGACCGCTCGAACTCCTTCCGCGGCAAGAACGCGAAGGCGAGCCGCAGCGCGGAGAACCTGCTTGACATGGGCAGCATGTCCCGGCGGCCGTCCGACCAACGGACGCCGCGCGGAGGGTATTTCGAGGGCCTGCGCCAGCCGAGCGCGGACAGCACGATGAGCCTCCCACGGATCGTGACCGCATCGACCTCCACGGCGGCCTCATCCGTGCCGAAGCCCCGCCATCGCGCAGGCTCGATGGACACGGAGGCGACGACCGCGGCGTTCTCGACGCTCACAACGCGCGAGCGGAGCGATTACAACTCGCCGACGTCCGCGCCGGCCGCGCAGGCGTCGATGGTAATGGAGCCTGCGTCGCCTCTGGCCATAGTGGAGCCGCCGGACTCGCCTGTATCAGTGCTCTCCTCTTCGTCGTCGTCGACGATGAACTCCAAGCCGCACAGGAGGGCAGCACCTCCACCGCCCGCCAAGCGGAGGAAGCCACCAGCGGTGCCAGCTGGGCGGGCACCGGCAGGCCATGCGTTCAGCGCAATAGGTGCTTCGTCTTCGCAGCCCAGCTTGACTTCGCTCTTGCCTCGAAGACAGTGACTACATATGCTGAATCCGGGCTATCGTACGCATGCACTTCTGGCGCTCTTACTATTTGGTGTACATCACAATTGGTTCTCGTCGTCGGACTCGTCGCATTGTCCGGATGTTGTCTCGCATCGCATTCATGTTGTCCCCGCGAACATACTTATCTTCATCGCTCATAATTGGATATCCCCGCGCGTTTGCGCAAGACGGGCACTGCGTCAAGCTATGAACCGCGCTGCGTGGCAGGACCGACGGTCGCTCTAACTTCCTCCTCCTGAGCTTCGTGGTGGTGCCAGGTGAAGGTAGCGGTAAGGGCTCGCCCATCGGCAAGCATGTTGGTGGCGAATTCAGTGAGAAACACCATGTATACGTATAAGTGTTCATGACATTTAGTAGTAGGTACGCGGGTACGCAGGTCATTGGTGGCAGGAGCGTGCCACGGGCGGGCATAAAAAAGTCCATCTCCGTACTACAAAGAAACAAAGGCCTAGGCGGCACCGACGAGTCCGTCACATACAGGTGGGCGAGAAAACAGTACAAGTGCGATAGTCTATGATATGTGAGATGGTAGTGGTAGTAGGGCCGAATCACAAGAGCACAACCGTCCGCTTCCGCTCAGACCTTCCGACAGATGGTGCAGTTTACGTGCAGTTCTTGACGGAAGACGAGGGCTGTGGGTAGCAAAGATGAGTCACATGCCGCAAACGACGTAGACAATCAATGACTCACGGATAGCGATGAGAGCTGCAATACTGAGCATGGCGAGCACATAGATGACACCGTACTTGATTACGATCCACCGACGCTGGCGCTTCTGCTTGATGGAGTACAGAGGGGCGCGAATCTGCTTCGACGGACGAAGCCAGACTGTGGAGCTGATCAGTCTTATACTTGTCAAGGAGACATCTGTAGGTACTTACACAGCATCGTTGAGTGAGCACGATCGATGTACGGCAGCAGAACGGGTGGTGTCAAGATCAGAAGCAGGAAGTGGCCAGTAAGGAAGTCAGAGCTCCAAAGTGACAACTCGATGATCTTCACAATGAACTCGCGAGCCGGTTGTGACATCGCATGTGCACCGAGACCCCGACCGTACCACTTGCCAGTCCACCATGCACGGTTTGTCTCGTCATGCTTGAACTCACGGGAGAGGAACACCGAGATGAGGACCTTGTGGATCGCGCGTTGAATGTAGATGACGGCGATGAGTCCTAGCACAGCATGGGCGACGTCCCAGGACTCGAGGAACCACTGTGACACTGTATCAGCAGCGGTTTGGAAAGCTATGATAGTCAACGTACCAGGAACTCGAAGAAGCCAATCATGCCCACGACACCCAGTGAGTGCGCGAGGAAGGCCATGAACGAACCAAACTTCGGGAAGGGCGTGTCAAGCAATGGTCCGAGGAACAGTGAGAACATGAAGAGGACCAAAAGAATCGCCGCGTTCCAGACGATGGGGCCAAGAGAAACGATGGCAATCCGCACGAGTGGGCTCGGCGGCTGGAGACCGTCGACCTTGAATGACTTGACGAACAAGTACGCGACCGTCATGAGGATGGCCATAGCGATGGGGAAGAGGACTTCCGAGAACATGATGGCGCGCCAACCTGCTCGAGGAAGATCGCCGGACAGCTTCTCAGACGGATGTCCGAGTTTCTTCTTCTTGTAACCAGTGATCATCGTCCGTGAGAGACGACAGTAGCCGATCCATGAGTTTTGGTGGACTCGAGAATTTCCCCGGTTCATCCAACGCAAGAACTCCCTGGCGGTATGTAAGTACGAGAAGCAACGTAACGCAGCATGAAAGTACTCACCTGTAGTCAACGATGAAGTCCGCCGCGGAGAACTGGTGCGGGTTGAAAAGGAATGGCGAGATGCAGAGTGCAAGGACGGTGACCCAGAAGTAGACGACCCATCCAGTCCACAGCGTGATTGTGACGTAGAGTAGCATCACCAACTGCCTCATACCAAGGTAGATACTAGGGCCAGCGAAACGCGAGTATAGGATACTGAATGAGATTCTTGTCGTCGCGAACCCACGTCCCGTCGCGATATAGCGAGCTCCACCAAATGTCAGGTTGCTCGCAATCGAATGTGAGTAGATCCGGGTTGAGAAGACTTCAAACGCGGGCGACAGGGACGCGAAGTGCTTGCTCAGACGTATGACGGCCTTCCAGGTACCACGCTCAACAAGTTCTGCAAACGGCATTGAGCACCAACAAAAAATCAAAATGCGTTAAGATAATCATACCTTGTAAAAATAGAGGCAAGTACGCGATCAGGAACACCAAGAAGATACTGATGATACACCTGTTGATCCACTGGAACACCGGGCTGAGGTTGTAGCAGCCTGCCACGCCGATGAACGCGCCGGATGACGTGTATTCGCAAAGCGTCAGTTGACCCTTGAGCGTTCCGAGGTAGACCACTACGAACAGAGTCAGCCATGTGCTACGGTGGAGAAAAAGGTTCTGCTTACTCGTCGTGATGAAGATCTGCACGGACAAGATGACCAACATGTTGTGGATGTGGAAACCGGGGTGACCGTAGTAGAACGTCAGGAAACGGTCAATGGGCAGCTGCGTTCCGAGGTAGTAGTACTCTCGGCTGAGCATCTGCTCGCCCATACCCGTACCGATCTTCGTCTGGAAATTGAGGATGGTGCCGAAACCGAGGTCACGTCCTTTACCACACTGGTAGTACTCGGTGTGCTTGATACGACCACCGCGACCGAATGCGTTCATGCCGGCGTAGATATCCTCGTTCAGGTGCAGACCCTTCTGAGCCTTCGAGACACCACCGCGCGTCGTCATGTAGAGCGCATTGAGGAATCAGGGTGACCGTAGTGCAGTTTCCCGCCGATGTAGGCCAGGGATCGCGCCGTGAGGGTACCGAAAGTCTGTTCCTTGCCAGCGGCCAAGTCGCCGAGGATACCGATGTTCTCCGAGAAGATGTACTCTCGCGCGCCGACAATCGCGACGGGGTTGCGGACGAAGTCCTTCTGGCCCCATTGCGCGTACGGGCTCTGGCTCGACACAGAGTACTCCTCGAATTCACCGAGGACGTTACGGATCTTGAGACATTCCTCGAGGTAGTTATCCTGGTTCGCATCGATGAGCTGGATGTACTCGCCACGGTAGAAGATAATCGCATGGTTCTGGTTGTCGGACTTGCCGTCACCGAGAATGGGGTTACCGGGGAGTTCGATGCGGAACTTCGGACGACGACGGCCAGTCTCGGGGATGAACTCGGAGTGCCCGTCGATGAGCGCGGAGAACAGGCGGACCTCGCCGCCCTCTTTGCGCGACGCCTCTTCCTCGAGGTAAGCGATCTGCAGGTCGGGGTATGCACGAAGGAGGAACTCGGCGTTCTCCTGCTCCTCCCGGTTGAACTTCGAGTACCGCTGCATTGAGACGACAAACTTGAACTTGCGACGCGCCATACGCTCCAACTCGCGCTCGAGCTTGTCCGTGTTTCCGCCGAAGAGCTGAACGACCTCCGGGTTCTCGACGCGGTAGAGGAGCTTGATGGCCTTCGCGTAGTTCATCATGCCGGAGACGGTACGGTAGAGCGTCTGTGCACGGAGTGACGCCCAGATACGCGTCCGCAGAGTGAACTCCGGAGCCGCGCTCTTGAACCCGATGCAGTAGAACGGCAGATCGTCAGCCTTGGATTGGCCCTTCTCGTCGGTGCCGAACGGGCTCGTGCCGTTATAGATTGCCGACTCCTCAGCGAGAATCTTGGTATCCTTCACGAAGTTGTCCCACTCGACCGGGTGCAGCTGCTTGAGGTACTCGAGGAGCGTGACCCGAGTGTTTTGGTCCTCTTCCCTGATGATCTCACGCAACGAGAGAAGGATCTAGAGAATCATGAGCACGGCCGATCCCGCCATAGAAAGCACACTAACCTTTTCGCTGTAGTGAGGCGTCAAGACCGTGAACGTCGGCATCGCATCGACAGGGATAGGCTCCGGGACCGCGGTCGTCAGCGACTGCGCGAAGAACGAAATGCGACGCTCTGCCTCGCTGCCGGGAGTGAAGAACTCGCCCTTCAGGCCTTGTCGCTCTGCGAGATGAAGAAAGGCGGCGCCCGGAGACTGCGACGACCGTCGTTGCCGACGTCGACCTGGTGGTAGAGCAGCTTTTGCACGTGGTCGATCGAGAGTAGGTGCTCGCGGTACATTGAAATGATGATTGCGTTCCAGATCTGCGAGACGAGCACCTACAAACCGGGGTGCGTCAGCCACCAAACTCACGTTGCAAGCAAACGGATTTCACGAACCTTGGGTTTGTACTTCGTCTCCATGTCCGCCGTAGCAAGTAGCTTGGCGTAAATCCGCTTCGGCAGCCGTGTGAAGATGTCCTTCCACGGCGTCCAAATCGACAACCCGAGCGCGAACGAGCGCACGATACTGAGGACCGTGTTCCAGATGATCCACCACAAGAAGGTATCCAAGAAGAAGAGAACGAGATCCATCAGGTACATGATCGTGAGCGTGAACGCCGCCTGGTTCCTGCAGAGCGCATTTCCGAAGTATCTGTCATTGCAGTTCTGGATCTTCATCCCGACCATGACCTGAATCGGAGTTTTGAACGAGAGCGTGAGGAAGAAATATGACTCCGTGTACTTGAGGCCGAAGATGAGCACCCAGACGAGGATAGACGTGAGCCGGGCGGTGTGGGAGAGGCCCGGATAACTCGCTGTGAATGTTTGGCTCGCGAGGTACTTCCGAGACTTGCCCGCCACGCGATCACCAAACATCCGTCCCGAAGGTAAGATGGCGAAGAGGAGCGTCGCGACGACCGAGATGAAGAATTGGACGATACCGAGGATGAGCGCCAAAGAACCGCCCGGAGAGTTACCCTCCGCAATCGCGACATAGATCGTAGGACCGCCGGTGAGTGCGAGAGTGATGAGCAGGAAGATGAGACGTCGTGTGAGGTGGGAGGTGTTGTTCCATGTCGTGGGGATGTACGAAAACTCGGCCAGCGTCGCAGCAATCATTATGGCAGTCGCGACAGCGCCGCCGAGCGCGGTGGCGGACCAGCGCATCGCCGCAGAGTTGGCTCCATTGTAGAGCGTCGGTGAGTTGTATGCCGTGTAGAAGAAATACATCGCGATGTGAATGACCCAGATCCGGTTGAAGTTCACTAGCAGGTGTCCAAACGAGCGCTTCTCGTAGTACGTCTTAAAAAACGCCCGGTTCCAGTCGATCCGCTCAAACTGCATGAACCGCTGTGCAGGCGGCAAGTCCACCAGACGAGTCTAGTTCAACAAGACGTTAGCGCGCCCACCCGAGAACAAGACAGGATACTGACCTTATCAACGAGGGCAATCCTCGCGATGCCCTCGGGGTACCAGAACAGTTGGTTCACATCGTCGTATCCAATGATGCTATCGTGATCCCTTCCCTCCGCACAAACTTCCCATCGACAACCTCGTATCCTTGATCACGATGAAGCGGTACAAGGGCTTTACCACTGTTCGCAGGTATAGACCCTCCGGCACAGCATCCATCCTGTTCTGCACTCGGGCGACCGGTAGTAATCGTCCGCGCATTGAAGATGAAGCACAAGCACTCGGGGACGAACCGCACCTGCGCGCCTTCGCCCCAGCATAGCAGCCAGAGCGCAATCTGACGCACGCGGTCGTACTGGCTCATGTTGTGCATCGCCTGCCGCCATCGCTCCATCGCGCTCTGCAGCGACTTCTCCGACGCGGTCTTTGGCCTCCGCGCTTCTTCACCGACTTGAGGCGTTGCAGGCCAGGATTTTGAGTCTGACCGACCGCGTCGTCAAGGTCCAGCTGCGCCGCGAAGTACCACTTGCGGTAGTTCGCGTGACGGCCGCCGATGTAGTCTGCGTGAAGTGTGAGCAGCGCCTGGTTCGGCGACATGCGCGACGCGCGGCTGTCGAGTAGCTGCATCATGAAATCAAACTGCAGGCCAGCGTCAGGCAAAACCGCGATGAAACAGCATTCACACACGCACCATATTCCGCATCGAATCCCGCTGGAAGCCAAACTTCTGCGTAAGATCGAGGAAAATGTCCTCAATCTCCTCCTTGGATAGCGGGATCTGGCGTTCTGAACTCCATGATGGGTAGGCTTCCCTCGTGCCCGCGGCGCCGGTAGAATCGAGATACGTTGGCGTCGATGCCTCCGACATCCCCATTCGCGGAGGGCCGAGCGACTCTGCAGAGGGTGCATACTTTGCACCGTACATCTCCGCCTCCGAATCTGTGTCGGGTTGCGGGCCTTGCGCGGACGCGAAAGTGAGAAATGTCGGTATCGAAGCGTGGACACACTCACCGTACGGGTCGTATGCGCCATGGTGGTCGTAGTAGCGGTCATCGTCGTTCAGACCGTTCTGGCTGGAGTCCGACATGTACGTGTCCCGCCTGTTGTAGTTGTCCGAGTCGTTATCGTAATAGCGTCCATCCGCCGCTTGGGCGTTGCTGAAGGGGTCCTGGTCGGATGTGGGAGAGGAGGAGACGTACATGCCTTCCTGGCTGCGGGGACCAGGACGGCCAGCCATGGCGGATAAGACGAGCTCGTCGTCGACGGGGAAGGGGAGGGTGGGAGGCGTGACGAAGGAGGAGCCGTTTGTCTTGCGGCTGGGTCATCCAGTCTCCCACAGCCCCGCCAACTGCCAGCCTTCCTTACCAGGCAGGTGCTTCCCGATATGGTGCGTCGGGGGTTCAATTCTCTGACTAGCGCGCGCCGAGCTCCACTACCCTCTTTCTGTTCTGTTCTGGTCCTCATCGCCTTCTGCCCAGCATCTGCCTCCGCGATACGGCCTCTCGCTTGTGCGATAGTCACAGCACTTGGTACGGCTCTGGCGGACGGCTCACGCGGCATTGTGCAAGCTCAGATGGAGACGCATGAGGGAGCTCGCTGCCCTCGACGTCGCATCAAGTTTGAATCAACTCGTCAGAGACCGAACAACAGCCACACGGTGCTGCTGCGCCGGACCACCTGCTGACACCAACTCTTCACCACAGCGTGGAAGCCAGGCCAGCTGCCGCTCTACAGCGTGCCTATGACCGCACGGAGCGCTCTGGGTGCCAGTGCACGTTCGGTATATCGGGAATGGTTGCGTTCTCACTCAAATCTAGTCTAGAAAGTATATTTTGGTATTCTTCCACTGCCTTATACGTATACAATCAGAAGGCTCAGGGCTTTTCTCAGCGCAACCTCGCTACCTCAAGCTCACGCTTCAAGGCCTCAAAGTTGGTTTTCATTGTGAGTTAGACTCTTTGAGTCTGTTCTGGCGTGCATTTGATGCTTCAGAGTAAATTCAATGCCAGCAAACAACTCTTGGCAAGCCATGTTCGGGACCGCGTCCGTCTGTCGTCTGTGAATGGGCGCGAGCTAAGTGCTTAATCGTTTCCGCCTCGACGCCGCCGCTTCTACGTTCGAACGATGTCCCGATACTTCAAGTGCTTGTGCAGCAATCGATGATCGACGCGTAGTTCGGCAGCGCCGAATTTTTTGAAGGGGTGCGCTGTTCACGGCACCGAGGCAGCGCTATTTTATTTACTGACGCTGCGCAGGAACAAAAGGGTAAATAGCTTACACAACATAGGTCTACTCAAATTGCTCTTCGGACCTCTGCTTAGCCTTTCATTCGACGATGTCAGCATCTGCAGCCGACGTTGGCTGTCGGCCCTCCAGGGCCCAATTTCTCGGCTCCTTGAAGGGAATGACGTACTCTTGTAGTTGACTATTCGCTCGGATTCACTCCGTGTCTTTTCGCCACGTCAGTGCTATAATGGAATTAGAAGTGTTGCCAGAACACCAGCCCTCGCGATACTTCACGGATATACGTCTCCAGTACATAAAATGTCGAAGCAATGCCGCCAGTGCACCGACAGTAGAATCCCATAAGTCGTGCTCGGACATACATGTTCCTTCTCCAACCCCATCGACCCGAAGTAGCTTCCCAATGATAGCGGATGCGCCTACGTACGTGATGACAAGCCTAACCATCTTTCCTGGCTTGTATCCGAGGGTCGAATACAAACCATGAAAGGAGGATAGACTTCAGTCACTCCCTCGACGGTTCACCGGCACCTTCGAACGCTTCGTACAGGAGCCCTGAACGTCTAGATTCAACAATCGATATCAATGCGGAGTGGTGACCAGAGACACACGCTGAACACGTGTGGTCATCCCATACCAGCATCCTTCCCGCCTCACCGCGCTGTCAGCTGTCAGACAGAGTTCCGAGTTCTTGAGCGTCGGTATGTAACGGGGCGTGTGCCCTTCGCGATTATCGACCAGTCTCCGTCTTCCACGCAGCCGCCGCCCGTGTGGCTGACAATAGAGCGCGGGAGTATTGACCCCTTGACAACGAAGGCGGGCAGCATACTGTCAGTGGCTGGATGGACCACCATGCCAGTGCGCGGTGATTGTGGGTGTGAGTGCGGGTGTATGAAGTGTCCGGAACACGGTGGGCAACGGCTCGTGGAGAGCAGCAGCGGCCACAGTAAGGAAGCCTCCGCAGGCGTCCGTCCGAGAAGTGGTACGTGGGCTTGCCTGCCAGGTGGGTCGTGTCGATAGCCTAGCATAGAATTTCATTGCCCTGTGACCTGCACGAGGTGGACCACAGAGCGATCGATTGAGCGTCCAACGACACTGCAAAGGAACCACTGTTTCCTTCACGTACAAGAATTGCAGTGAGATGCAAATTCTTTACATACCTTCGTGACCATCGGAAAGGGGACCAGAGCGCATCACTCTCGGCCTAGGAGAAGCTTCATAGTCTATTGTCCACCGGAAGGGCGTCCTTCAAGTTCGACGTCTTTCCGAGATGTATCTATGCCACCAGAAACCTGTGAGGAATCCCCTTCGCTTGCGAAGCCTTTTCGGCTGAGGAAATCATGACATCTTTGCAGTGCGAAGGCCTATAGGACGTCGAGTGAATGAGCCACAGCATGAAGGTCAGTGAAAGATGTACACCATCTTCCGGCTTGATCCCGAGTGGGCGCTTCTGCGTCTTCACAGAGCAGGGAAGGTGACGTTTGAGGCCGGGCTTGACTTCGTGTGGCTCACGTCGACATAGCCCTGATCTAAGTTTCTTGGTAGGAGCCCTGCGAGTGTACTGCTGAGGCGGAGGTGTGTGACCGGTGAGTTAGGCATACCACACAGTATGTTGCGGATCATCCTCACCGGCTGCGACCTCGAGATGAGGTCATCGCGGCATGGTCACCGGCAGGGCTGATCGCCTGCCGTGAGCGTCGGCGTCCCCGCAGTCGCTGTGCGCAGCGAGGAGAGCATTCCTTAAGACATTGCGCATAGCCCTGTTGAGGTGATAGAATGTAAATAAGCCGCTCTATCTCCTGCGCTGCGAGTAAAGCTACCATTGTGCAGTCCTTCTTTTGCAAAACAAGAAGGCAGGCGATGCACGACTCACCCAAGCGAGACATGTTCTGTTTGAAGAGTGACTGGACGAGCTCGGGTCACCGAGCGGCGAGCACAGCATCGAAACCTAGTCGAAACCGGAGCCGCCAAAGCGAGCGTTCTGCTGCACAGCGCCGGAGCCCGGGACCCTTCTCGTATTGTAACGATCGGAAGCTAAGCACGCAGCCCTGGCGTGGCGTTGAGCGTATATAAAGGAGTCTCAGGTGCGCGGGCAGGACATACGCTGCCGCCCCTCACCATCTCCCTGGCTCTGTCCACCATGTTCCACTACCTCCGCAAGATCGCGCACAAGCGCAAGTCAGAAGGTTCTCCGACACGCCCGAGAGCACCGCCACCGCGTCCTCACCTGCAGTCGAGCGGCTGCGTTCGCATATATCGAAGGGGAAAGAGCGAGGCGATGCGGGGGAGACGAGGAAGACATCGATGGAGGGACGAGGGAGGCAGGAGAGGCCCTCGGCACAGCCCGACAGAGGCGAAGCGGTGCGTCTATTCGTGCAGCGCCCTTGTCTGCAGCCAGTACTTATACCACCTGCTCATCGCAGGCGGCGTCCTCCACAACCCTCTCACCGTCACCGAACCCGCGACATCGCAGTACGTCCGCAAAGCGAACAGAATGAGCCCCACCCCAGCGACGGTGCCCTGCCAGGCAAGTTCCTCTATGCTGCCTTGCGGCGACCGCCCTGACACCTCGAGAACCTCTAGTACCGCACTGGGAAGACTCTGGGCAGTGGAACGTATGCCATTGTCAAGGAGGCTGTTCACATCAAGACGGGGGAGTACTATGCGTGCAAAGTGATCAACAAGAAGCTTATGGAGGGGCGGGAGTACATGGTGCGCATATATCCTCATCTATCGCGGCCCTGCGGATCGGTGCGACCTCTGGGTGCTCCACTGCAAGGTACGGTCGGACGACTTACTGATGATCATTGTTTGCGGGCGATGTTCAGGTGCGGAACGAGATCGCGGTACTCAAGAAAGTCTCAAGAGGCAACCCCAACATCGTCACGCTTCACGACTACTTCGAGGTGAGCTTCATCCCCTTCCGTTCCCATTCCTCTCATCGGCTGGACGGTGCGCGCGTTCGCACGTTTGCGTCTTGGCCAGGATGACACACTGGACGTGACCGAGAACAGTGTGGCGGCGCGGTGCCCGTCGTCCCAGCGCAGCCTAACGGCATATGAAGATACCTCACCAGCTCTCACCGGGCTCGTCTGGTTACCTTGCTGTGGACGGCACCATGCGGGCAGGGTCAGAGTCAGGGAGAAGCAGTCCAAGCAGAGTCCAAGCCGATTTCGGGCGAGTGCGAGTGTTTAGCGCCGATTGTACGCTCGGCGTACGCGAGTCCTGCCATGAGGCTACTCACCGCCAGGCTTGCCGAGTGTCGGTCGGTCTGTCCGATTCTTGGTTGACGATGCATGATCTGCCTGTCTGCCGTATTGTGCAGCTGCGGCAGGTACCGGAAGTCCACCGATAACTACGTCCGATGGCTGAAGGCCTCCGAGACGTAAATTCCCGGCTAGTCTTGCCGCTGCCTACGTCCAGACACAGGATGCCCCAAACCTATCGATGCCTAACCGGTTGTATTTGCTGACATCATTTCCAGACATCCCACAATCTGTACCTGTGTTTCGACCTTTGCACGGGCGGTGAGCTTTTCGATCGGATATGTGCGAAGGGAAATTACTACGAAGCGTGAGTCCTGGTCGCGTTTCCGCTCCAATCGCTGAGATGTACCCGTTAGCGACGCTGCCGAGCTGGTGCGGACGATCATGGGCGCCGTGAAGTACATTCACGGCTGTGGTATCGTACAAGAGGTAAGCTACATCGGTACCAATCCCGAGCCATGTGGCTCACCGGGTTTCCCAGATTTGAAGCCCGAAAACCTGCTGTTCCGGACGAAGGACGAGGACGCAGACATTATGATTGCGATTTGGCCTAAGTCGTGTTATGGAGGACCATCTGCTCACCGAGGTCTGTGGTACGCCGGGGGTGAGTGCTGCAGCAGTACTGGACAATTTACTGATGGATCTGCAGTACATGGCCCCGGAGATCTTCAAGAAAAGTACGAGGCTGGGTTATGTATACAGGACTGTACACTGACGATCTTCCAGCTGGCCACGGCAAGCCTGTCGATGTCTGGGCCATGGGTGTCATCACCTACTTTCTCCTCTGCGGTACGTCACCTCCGCCTCTCCCACTCTGCCCCATCTAACTTTCGACAGGCTAACGCCTTCGACCGCGACACGCAGCACAAGAGATGGAGGCGATCCTCGCGGTGACTACAAGTTCGAGCCGGACGAGTACTGGCAGAACGTTCCCAGCCCGCGCGCGACTTCGTCGCCTCGTGCCTCACGATCGACCCCGCCGCACGCCCGACCGCGGAGGAGGCGCTCCAGCTCCCGTGGCTCGCGGCCGCGACGCCGCACTACGTGGCCGACCCCGAGAGCCCGCACGGCGGGCCGAAGGACCTGTTGCCGCAAGTGAAGAAGGCGTTCGACGCGAAGAAGACTTGTGCGTTGCCTTCCGTGCTCCGTGCTCTTTCGTGTGGCGTGCTGACCGTGCCATCCAGTCCGGAAAGCGGTCCTCTCCATGGTGGCGATGCGCCGGATGTCGACGCTCGCACACACGCATACGCTCGATCCGCAGATCGGCGGCAAGAGCCTGCGGCAGCTCCTCGAAGAGTCCGAGAAGGTGCGTGTGCGCTCACTTCACGCTGATGTTTCCGATGCTTACCCCGCGTTCGCAGGAACACGTCGACGGCGAGCACTCTGTCATGCACTTCGACAGCAGCTCGTCCGAAGGCGGCAGCTCCGGCGGTGAGGAGCACAGCGGGCTCGTGGACGCGCTCTCGTCCGTCAAGCTCTCGACTGCTGCGAAGTAACAGCGATCGCTTGGACTGTATCAGGCTACAGAAACATGAGGACCGGGCGCTGCCTGAGCTCGTTCAGTTGCAATTGGGTTAGATTTATGTAGGATACCGTAGCCCGCTCGGTGGTGTTCGATAGTGCGTCGGGTCGTCGTCTATATCTAACGTGAAGTAGTGTAATGATATGAGATACCAGTGTGTGCCGATGGGGTGACGTTAGGCTGCTCGATTTGTGTGTACAGCAGGATTGATGAACTGAACACAACTCAGGTATGGTTAGCAGGCTCATACGGTTGTACTGCGTGTACCAGGCGTGTACATGTGTTCGGTGAGACCTCCGGGCTATAACAGCATGGTTGACGTTGAGCAGTGTAACCTAAGTGTCCACCAAGTCGAGACCACTGCCACGACATACTGCAGAACGTTGTGCAACAGGCCCGGGCCATTTCAAGGATGCTTGAAGAACTTGGCTCGCATACTACTCCGCATAATAACAGCGTGGACCCAACTACTTTCCGAATCGACGACTACCACCAGAAACTTAATGGCAGGTTTTCGCACCGCCCAGCATATCATTAACATAGCACCATGAGTACAATTTCTCCTCGATGACTGGCGTCAAGAAACGCTTGACATTGGTGAAACTCGTGTGCCCACGGCCCCAGACGACACTGTATTTCGATCCTGCTCTCGCTTTACAGGTCACGGTTTTGGTAGGGAAATTGGCGGAACATGTTTGGGACCACGAGGACCATGTGTAGGTAAGAGCGTCCATAATCTACACGATGGCTAGCTTGACCTAGGTGATGAGAAATGCGAAGTGCTTCAATTACTCATGTTAGGTATCGTGATCATCAATAATGCTCACTTCTGAAACTGCCTTGTCGACCTCAGCCACCAAGAGCAGCATGAAAGAGCCCACCTCGTGCGGCGCACGCGCTGTGCAGACATTGCATTGACCAGCTTGTGTGAGAGCTAAAGCTGTGCAATCTTGAGAGGCAAGGGCTGCCCCGCATGGTGTCTTGAGCACGATCGCGCGGCAACGGGTCATCATACCAGTCCACCACTTTCCCCGGTAACTAGCCAGTCCATCTCGGAATGTACACGGAGCAACGCTTAAGCCTATGCACGAACCACTGCAATTAAAAAAACACCACTTGCTCGCGTCAATCCATGTCAAGTCGTCGAAGCTGCGGACAGCCGCTGCAGCGCAGCGATCGCGGTAATCGAGGAGGCGCAAGAAGGCAGAAGCGCTGATATGGGTGAGATCCTCCAGTGTCGCCAATATGTTGTTGGCGAGAACCACGTTCAGGGATGCCTTTGCGGCCGCCCTGACTATCTCCTCCCGTAGCTGGTAGCGAATGGCAAGGGCGTAGACTCGCACAGGTGCGGTGTCCGCGAAGACCACGAGCCGTTGACCGAGGTAATTCAAGGCTCCATCCATGGCGTATTTCCTGGCAGCGTCCAACAATATCGACGCCTCTTCCAGCGTCTGGATGGGCATATCGTTGATAGGGTAGCATAGGCACAGCAGGCCCTGTAGAATGCGACTGTCCTCCGTCATGGGGACTATGGGGAGGTTGTTGGGCGACTCAGCAGGGTCCTGCGGCGTAGGGAGCGAGAGCATGTCCTCGAACACGGGAGATGCCTCGGCGAGTATGGCCTTCCGCACGCGGAAGTTCATGCCATCCGACGAACGGAGGATGAGATCGGCGGTGGGTTTATTGAAGGGTGCTGGTGCGTCGGTCGTAGGGGTAACTGCGGCGTCCGAGGTGGTATTCGAATCAGATTGCGACACTGCGGCGAGCTGGTCAGATTCAGAACATACGAAGTGCGACAGAGATGACTGACTCGCGTATGGGATACCTGGTGCGCGACGAGACTGCGATGGTGAGACACGACTGTAGCTTGCGGCCTGAACACGACGGTGAACAAGGGGCACGTACGTGGTGCGTGAGACTGCGATACAATTGATAAGGTTGGAAGCCTCGTGTCAACCCACTGCATTCTCTCGCATGTCAAGTGACGAGGCCGAACGACTTCTCAGATCATTGACGCTCAGAGTCGACTTGGAGGAGCTCTCACACTTTTCAGCTACGTGGATGGCGCTACTGTGGACATGCTGCATTAACCATTCTATGAAGATATACACGTACAGTTCGTGGTACCCATGGCTCACTCGTAAGACCATGGCGGAAATTGACATCCCCAGCCACCTTGCCAGACAACTTCATGTCATCTGTTCAGCCAGAGATTGCTACCAGACTATGTCTGTCTCGACCTATGAGTCGCATGCGGTTGAGGAAATTGAATGATAACTATCACAAGAAATACAATTTACCTGTGCGACCACGTCGTCTATTATCTTAGCCACTAGGGTGACCATGAATTCTTCCAAGTCGGCTACCGACCGCGGGCCGCAGTGGCTGCACTTCGCCGCTTCAGTCAAGGCTGTCGCGGCGTAGTTGGAGAAGATGAGCTCTAGGGCTTTCCCACAAAACCTACCCCGTAATCCGTTTCGGCAAGAACCCATATATAATTGGAACCACCATGCGGAGACTTGCGAATACCGTTCTTGAATGCCATCGGACCGTGAGCGACGTAGACTTGACACAGGTCATTGGTGCAAGTCAAGAAGCACCATCTATCCGAATCGATCCAGGTGCTATCTTCGAAGGCGCTGCAATCAATGGCCACAGCGCACCGGTTGCGGTAGTCGAGGAAGGACAGGTAGGCGGAAGCGCTGATATGCTGGAAGTCCGCCACTCGCTTTAACTTGGCCGTGGGGGCAATTATATTGAGGCATGCATTGAGGGCTGCCTTGATAACCTTGTCCGGCAGCTGGTGGCGGACTGAAATGGCATAGACCTGTATGGGCGACCTTTCGGCGAAGGACACGAGCCTTTCGCCTAGAAAGTTCAGCGCGCCATCCATGGCATACTTCTTCGCTGCGTCTAGCAGGGTGACGGCCTGGTCCAGCGTCCGCAATGGCATTTCACTAGCCGGGTAACACAGACGCAACAAACCCTCCAGGGTGCGACTGTCTTCCGTCATTGGGACCACGGGGAGACTGCCGGCTGGGTCCTGCGGCGCAGGGAGCGTGAACATGTCCTCGAACACGGGAGATGCCTCCGCGAGAAAGGCCTTCCGCACGCGGAAGTTCATACCATCCGACGAACGGAGGATGAGATCGGCGGTGGGCTTATTGAAGGGTGCTGGCGCGTCGGTCGTAGGGGGTACTGTCTGTGCGGCGTCGACGGTACTCGTTGAATCAGGCTGCAACGACACTGCGGCGAGCTGGTCAGGTACAGTACCGAGTATACGAAGCGTAGCAGAGGCTCATACTCACTCTCGTATCAGATATTTAATGCGCAACGAGGCTGCAATTGTGAGACACGACTATGGTTGACGACTCGGAGACGTACGAGGTTCGTTTGCTCGCGGGCATTGGTGGTCCCGACTGATTACGTAAGCTACCCAGGAATGACTTTCCCACCCGTGCCAGAGTGCCTAGCACCTTCCCGCTGCATTCAGACTGGTGTCTATGAGCCTTGTATACGTTTGAAGCCGTGTCCTTGATGCATACTACACGCAAAAACGGTCATTTTGGGAAGACATATTTTAAGCGCCAGGGATAATAAACACATCAGACGGTTGTGGTTGAAAACCACCTAAGTACTCGTCTGACGTCCGAAAAGTGACATCCCCAGCAAACTTGACGGCTTCATGTCATCTGTTGAGCGGGGCACTGTATATGGTGTAAGGAGACCAATCGGACCAGCCGCCTGGCCTGCACGATCTAAATACCAACGACCCGGAATGAGGACGAGGAACAATGTTATGTCGACACAACTGACTCACAGCGGTCATCTGGTGGTCGTGGCAGGGTCTGCAGTGGCTACCAATCCATGTCTAATTCAACCTACGACGTGAATGTGAGTGGGAGTTCTGAACCGGTTATCGTTTAGAGTGGTAACTCACCTGTGCGACCGCATTGTCTACCTGAGCCATGAGACAAACCACAAATTGATCCAATTCAACTGGTGCACGGGAGACACAGCTTCTACACCTCCCGGCCTCCTGGAGAGCCACGTCTGTGCAGCTGTGAGAGGCGAGCGCCTTTCCGCATGGGCTCGCCTTCACCAGGCCGCGGCAGCGTGCCATGAATCGTAGCCACCATGCTCGAGGGTCCCTTTGAACACCATTTTCAAACACAAGAACGATCCCCTGACTTTGGCAACATGCCTCGAGCCAGCACCATCTCTTCGCATCAATCCAAGTGAAGTTGTCAAAAACGCCCATGGCAGCGATAGCACAGCGGTCGCGGTAGTCGAGGAGGCACAGGAACGCAGAAGTGCTGATATGTCGAAGGTCTGTTGATTTCCTCAGTTCGTTGTTCGAGATGGTGATCGCGAGGAACGCCTGTGCGGCGGCTTTTGCTACATCCGGCAGCTCATGGCGCACAGAGAGTGCATAAACTTGCACCGGGGAGGTTTCGGCGAAGGACAAGAGCCTTTGACGTAGGAAGCGCTGCGCGCCATCCATAGCGTACTTCTTTGCTCCATCCAACAGGGCAGATGCCTGGTCCAACGTCTGTAATGGCATGTCGTTGGCTGGGTAACACAGACGCAACAACCCCTCCAGGGTGCAACTGTCCTCCGTCATTGGGACTACGGGGAGACTGCCGGCCGGGTGGTCAGCGTCCTGCGACGCAGGGAGCATGAACATGTCCTCGAATACGGGAGATGCCTCTGCGAGTATGGCCTTCCGCACGCGGAAGTTCATGCCATCCGACGAACGGAGGATGAGATCGGCGGTGGGCTTATTGAAGGGTGCTGGTGCGTCGGTCGTAGGGGGGACTGCCTGCGTGGCGTCGACGGTGTTCGGATCAGATTGCAACGACACTGCGGCGACCTGATCAGAAACGGGATCTACGAAATGCAACAGGAGTGACTGACTCTCGTATGGTTTACGGTACCTGGTGCGCGACGAGGCTGCGATTGTGGGAGACGACTGAAGCTTGCGGCTTGAACGTTGACCACGATGGTGAACAAGGGACACGTATGTGGTGCGTGAGACTGCGATGCAATAAGGTTGGCCGCCTCGTGTCGACCTCAAGCGAAGAGGCCGAACGACTTCGATCACTGACGCTCAGTGTCGACTTGGAGGAGCTTTATTCCCATATCCGCCCAATACGAAGACAAGTGTATGATGAGAGCCGGGAGCGATCTGACGACGCACCTTGTGGACAGCAAATGAGGCCGATGCCTCTGCTCTGAAGCGACGTCCTACGTGTTCGTCACCACACATACCCGCAAGCCCCGTCGACCCCAACATGGTTGGGATAATGACAAGCATGTCAGCGATGCTATGAGTACTTCCTTCGATTATGTACCAGACGCAATATATGCTCGTCCCGCACATGCAGGTATTCTACCCCGTGCCCGACGGCCCATGCCAGTCTCGCTCCGCTCGTCGTCATGTTTAATGCGAGTGTGGGCCGTTGCCTCTGCGGTTTCCTACAGCACCGCTCGAAGCGAAGCAACAATCTAGTTTGGAAAATGAATGTCAAGTCGCCCACAGGTGTCACTGCGCCATACCTTAAGTGTCGAGCGTCATCCACTTCACGCCGCCTGTGCTGCGGCGGGTTGTATCTCGGCTTGCTTCGAAGCTTGCAGCTTTTCCCGCACCATCACTCGTATCCGCATGCCCTCCCATCCTAGCAACTCGTGCCGCGTGTTGAGAACGTACTTGTCGATCCCTCCGTACTAAGACACGCCATAGGGTCAACATAAACGACGACGGTCACGCAGTGGGCATTCGACGCACCTTCTTGATCGTCTTCAACGCACACGTGGACACCTGCACTCGCACGAACTGTTGCAGCGCGTCGGAGAAGAACCGTTTGTTGTGGAGGTTCGGCAACCACGACCGCCGCGTTTTGTGCAGGGAGTGCGGCACGTTATTGCCATATTGCTTGGTCTTTCCGTGAAAAAGACCAAGTTGTGACCGCTTGAATGGTACACTGATGGCGTCCTTGAGCAAGGGCAAGGAGGCGAACATGGCGGATAGCGGACGAACAGACTGGAGCATTAAGCGCGCGACGAAGCACTATGTACCCGGTTTCCTGATTAGGAAGTGCTTTACTTCGATCCAACCACCTCCGAGTACTCTCCGGGTCTTTCAGCCTCTTTCAGTTTCACTGCCAGTGCGTCGGTGCGGCCTTCGAATGATTCAATTTAAGTAAGTAGCATCAGCGGAATGTTGTTCCTTGAGGGAGATATGCTGCATGTAGTCGGGCTGTTCGTACAAACAGGTGTTGATGAGACGGTAGGGCCCAAACAAACACCTCACTGCAACCTCACTAGGGCACGTAAGTAGCATGTCCGTGTTTCCCCGACTCCTGCATACAAACCATTCGAACTGCAAAATCAGTGTATGGCTTAGTTCACTTCTGTAAGCGCAGGGCATCACAAATACAAGACCTTCATTGACGCCCTACAACGTCGCAATACACTCTACTGCACACAACACACATTTAAGCCCTACAACCAGTTACAACCAGAACGTACAACCGCGTAGTATCGCAACCCGTCGCAAAGGCAGCATTCCAAACCGGCCCTCTCAGACGTACTTGACAGTGACGCTGCTGGAGCCGGTGGAGACAGAGGTAAGGACCTTGTTGTTCTGCTTGATGTCGATGATCGTCGCGCCCGACGGGCCAGTGGAGCCCGAGCCCGTCGACGCGGACGCGCTGGTGAAGGTGACCGTGCCGAAGTCGGCGAAGGGCACGAGCGAGCTGCCCTCCTCGTAGTCCTCGACGATCCACTCCGCGTTCTCCTCGCAGAGCGCGCTCGACGACGTGATCGACTTGGACACCGTCTTCCCCGTGCTCACGTTCTCGATCACGGCCTTGCCGGCCGTGGTCGAGGAGGCGGTGACCGTCAGCTTGACGGTGTCGCCCGAGCTGAAGCTGATGCCAGAAAAATCGTACGCGTAGTCGGGGTACCACTCGTACCAGGCTGTCGAAGCGTACGCCGTCAGCTTTTGCGCTCGCGCAGACTGTGATGTAGTTAACGTACCATCGTACGAGACGGAGCCACCGTCCACGGTGAAGTCGACGCCGGTTTGAAGAATGGCGTTTCCGCAGGTGTCGCCGTCAATGCCGACCCAAGCAGAGGCAGAGTAGGAGCCAGAGCCACCCGAGGGAGTAGACGGCGTGGGCACAACGAAAGTACCCGTAACGGACTTGAAGGTGCCCTGTAATCACAAGGTAAGCCTGATGGTGCTGAACGATGGTTGCCAACACGACGTACTGAGCTCTTCTCCCACACGGCGCCGGCCCAGTTAGAACTATACGAAACTTGCGAAACGTTGCTGAGCTCCTCCGGCTGCTCGACGAGCTGCATGGGGCGCGACATGTGCGAGCCCTCAGCGCGCCGTGCCAGACGATCCGCGAGGCGGCCCTTGGGGGCAGCTACGGCGGCGGTGGCGAGGAAGACGAAGCTGAAGAAGCTGGAGGCGAACATCTTCACGCAGGATGCAGGACGGGAGCGGGAGCAGGGGTGCGTCGACTCGAGAGACTTGTCAAGACCGAGGGCAACCTGGCGAACGTAGTACTGCTTGCCATAGCTTTATACCTGCAGCTGATGGAGCGCATGGCGCACAGCTTGCTGAATGCTGCTCATCGCCAGCTCGCCATATGATGCCTCAGCGCTCAGCCTTGGCAAGGAGCTGGTGCAAAGGTACGCGGAAGCAGTCTCCCCTCCTGCGGCACGACGTGATTTTGGTCGCTCGAGGCAACCACAACGGGAAGACACCAACCGGTGGTAGTTCCTAAAAAGACCGATAGGACCTAGAGCATGAGAGCCACGCGCATCACGTTGACAGAACCACTGGGTCGACGGCGCAACATGCATCCAGGAGGAAGGATGGACAACTAGGGCAACAGCTTCCTCCCAGGATCTACGGGACTCATAATGATGTGTACCGAAGTCAAGATTAATCCACTCACATGCTCTGGGGCATCATGCGCGACGCACGCAGGGGATCACAACGAGGGCCGTCGGCCCCGATAACAAGCAACAGAACTGCTGATGGAGTCGTTGCCCGCATGAAACCGATGCATATGGTCTTCCGCCGATAAGACTGCACAATTGTGATCCCGCCTTCGGCGTCGACCGTTATGCTCGGGGAATGAACAGTACAGCGTGGAAGTGTGAATTGCATCATGCTTCTGCAGGGAATGCCCTGAACTTGGCCTATGTAGTCTTCGTGAGTGCTCACGACATTCGAAGGCAGTAGTCAAGCATGCCTCACGGTCCTCACACGATCCCCGGCTTCTCTCTCCTGCCGAGCAGGTACATACCTGGTCGAGCATCCACGGTGTTCTGAGAACCGCGCATTAGCAATCGTCCGTACCGTTCTAGGCCGTCACCGGGCAAGAAAGGTTTTGGGTGCGGGCAGGTAGACGATTCAGAATGGGCGCCGCGAGCGGACGACCCCAAGCGATATCATTTTGAAGTCAGCCGCCGTTTGCAGAGCCACAAAGCAGACGTGTTCGAGGTGCCAGTTTGGCCTCTGTCAAAGTCGTCGAGGGGCCCCACAGTTGCGCAGTGAAGGAAGGAGAATTTGCTTCTGCCTTGGGGAACCAATCAGCGAGGCAAGCGGACCGCCGGCAAGAGTATTAGCGTGATCTTAAATAGCGCAATGGATCGTCGTTGGATCGTCGATAGGCGACTTGAGGCTTTTTGGCTCACTCCTCGCACGAAGCACAATTGCCTGCGCGGGCAATGCCATATGGTCATCTGTGATTGCGTGATGAGTAGACAACATCGAGATAGATCTGTAACCTACGTGAAAGCACGTCGCGTTACATGATGGTGAAAGGCGGTCCCATTGGGCATGTACGGTCTGAGGAGACGAACGCGACCCCACGAAGGACTCACCAGGCGGTATGTACGACGACAAGGCGTGGACGACACCGGATCCAACTGACACGGACGATACAATTATGCCAGGACCACACGACAACGGCGCCGTATCGTAACATTACATGAACCTAGAATAAGGCAGCCTGGGGCATGCAAGCTGTGAGTAGGCCGCTGGACAGAGCAACACTCGGTCACACCTGTGTACCGCTCACCACTTGATCTCCGTCTGTGGCTCCTTGTCCATACAAATGCTCAGCTCCCAGTCGCTGACGCGCTTCGCCCACCGATACATCTTCACGCCGCCATAGCCTCCTCTCGGCCCCCGCATCTCCTGCAATATCTCCATAAAGACCTCAGGATTGTCGTTGAGCAGGAAGTACGCATCGACGGAGCGCTGCCTGTCATACGCCATGATGCTCGACGGTGTGTTGCCGAGCGACGCCTGCAGCTTCACGAGGAAGAGCCGATTGCCGTGCGGGTTCGGCGGGATGACAGAAGCGTCCAATTTGCGGACGGCGTTCCGACCGTCACTAGTGCGCGAACTGTGCTTGTTGAACGAGGCTGCATACATGCCCTCCAAGCCCGGTAAGACGGTCACGAATCGCGCGGTGTGCCAGGTCCCACCATTCAGTGCTCGGCAAACGCGTTTGTGGTTAGGCCAGTCCGCCTTTTGGCAGTCTGGATTAGAAGAATTAGCGCGATGTATGCGCACAGAACGAGGAGACACGCACCACTGCTACAGTACGCAACCGACTGACATTGCGAACAGCGACTCGTAGTCTTTCTCCCACACAGAACGCAGCCCGTATCGTTGTTGAGCTTGCCTACGTCCTCGAAACTGAGCGGACCAAGCGGGAGCAGGAACGAGACTTTGAAGTTCTGCTCGGAAGACTCCTTCTTAGGCTTGTATGTACTCGACAGGAGTTTGGCGTTGATCGCTAAGATTTTCAGCAAGAGCTTCTGCTCGAGAGGAGTGCATTTGATATTGACCAGATATCCAGGCGAGTCCTGCTTGTCTTGCATTTGGTGCAGCCATTGCAGACCCTCCATCACGGTCGCCCGAGTGACAGACTGGTAGAGCAAGATGATCACTGGTGTATCCTTGTCGAGCTCCAAGACAGACAGCAGCTGTAAGTCTGATCTGTAAGCACTGAAAGACTGACATGCAACCGAGCGACATACTCGTATGTTAATGGCGCACTGCTCCGATTCAGGATCCTGCAAGACCATCCACCGGTGTCCCTCATCCCACCACCTCGCGATGCCCATGAGTGTCTGTCGAGCGTCGAGCATCGGGTTCTTGTACAATTCTGTCTCCTTGCCTTGCAGCTTTGCCTGATAGTTTTGTTGAGCCTCGTGGAAGTTACCCCGCCTCACACCCTCGTACACTTCGTGACCCGACGGCCATGTTGATAGAGTAGCTGGGTTCAGAGGAGGATCCGGGAGCACGTTTGAGACGAACTGTGCGCCGTTCAGGGCTTGTCTGAGCCGCTTCTGCAAAGCTTCATCTGGCAACTTGGTAGCGGGAGGCAGCTCGACGCCCATTCCCGACAGGATAGCCAAGGTCTCCTGGCGAGACAGAGAGTCCATATTGGGCTAGAGCGACGTCGATCTTCAAGCTTCAAGCTTCAGGAGTTCTGTAGATATCGAAACGGTACAGAGTGAGTGGCAGTCGCGGATGACTCGATGACCGGGCTTCGAGTCGGGTCGGCCGCGGGATTCAAAAACGCGGTCACGTTACTGTAACCATTTGCTCGAGAGACGCGCCTGTCGTCTGGCCAATTTTCACTGTTCAGCCCGAGCATATATATCGCGATACTGTCGATTCCTCGTCTTCTCACTTGCGTCTCACCATCCCTACGTGGAAATCAGTCGAGTGCAACTCGTGGTAACTTGCTCGACTGCTCACCACGAAGCTATCAAGTAGTATACATGGCATGGCAACGTATTCAAGCTGGAGGTTTCTGGCGCGACGGGTCCACGCATTCGAGTCCCAGTGCTCAAAGGGCCCATCATTAGTACTCAGGTCACACTTGCAATTTCCTAGACTCGTTTACGCTCTGTTGTCGATGTGCTGCTCGTGCATGCAATTGTTAGTACCAAGTCTCGTTCTAGAGTCCATGCGCATCCATTCCATAGTTGTACAATCACACGGTCTTGCTCTGGGAGATGGCCTTAAACTCGTTATCAAACTCTTCCATGGCATCGAGAGTCTCCGAGAGATGGCGATATCCGAGCTTCTCTCCACGGCTCTGCGCGAGCGAGGTCGCAGTCCTGGTAGCGTTCTTGATCTGACGCCCGTTCACCTCTCGGCTGACGAGATCGTCTAGCTCGTCCGCGGTGAGGTCCGCCGAGCCCACTTTCAGAAGGAAAGCCTGCCAGATCTTGTACTTGGCCTCCTTGCTCAGTTCTTGGAAGCGGAGAGCAACGTGGATGCGGGACAGGAAGGCTTGGTCGAAGGCCTTGACCCTGTTCGTAGTGAGGAACAGGATGCCGCGGTAGTACTCGACGTGCCGCAAACTAACACAAAGGCGAATCAGAAAAGCGCCTCGCAAGGATTCGTGCAGGCACAACTCGGATGGGGTGACATACAACACTGCGACCATGGCGTTGCGTGACAGGTCATTCATAGCGCGCTGCTCTAGAAACACGTCGGCCTATGCCCATGACATCAGTACGGCTTAGATTAACGAGTCACTACCAAGCGGGATTACCTCGTCTATGAGCACGATGGCCCTCCAGCGCGCGGCCATACTGAAGACCCTCTTCAAATTGGCGTCGACAGCGTCCGCTGACTCCCCGAGGTCCCCACCTCCAATCATGTACAGCGGCCTCCTGAGGTGCTCGCTAGTAGCCTCCGCGGACAGAGTCTTGCCGACTCCGGGAGGGCCGAAGAGGTTTATGACGAGACCTTGTCCCTTGCCTTTGACGAAATCGTCGAAGTTCAAGTTGGAGTTGTGTGCTTCAACGAGAGATCGCAGGAGGTCTCTTCGATTGCCCGATAGGACGAGGTTCGTGAACGGCTCATTGGACCATTCAATAGGTTGGACTTTCTCGACATTAAATTTGACTAGTGTACGAGCAATCAGTACTGGCAGTCTGCATGAATGCATGTATTAAGGACTCACGCCATAGCTTGTCAGATAGGCTGAAACCGTACAGCACCGGTGAGGCGAGGATTAGTTCATCGTCTGCCATGTGCTGATTCCGCGGGCTGGCCTTCTCGTCGTAATGCAAATCGACCTGGGTGTCAACTTCGGAATGCGAGATAACTGACCCTTCTGGGGTGGCGGGGTCCTCCACTGCGACGATGACCTCAGGCATCGTCTGCTTGGGATTATGGCGCTTGAAGGCACCTGGTGTGATCCCGAGTCAGATCGTCTACAGCCGTGATAGCGCCAAGTGCGAGGTTTTACCTCGGTCGATCATCACCCTGGAGTCAATCTTGTCGACTCGCGTCAGCCATTACAGTCTGCATTGGAGGCATTGAATACTCACCTCGTATGTGGTCGAATTACGGACGGCAGTCCCTTCGTACTGCACATGGTGTACACCGTTGAGGTCGACCCATTTGCGCGCACGAGCAAGGAGGGCCCTCCTCAAATTTCCTTCGTCGCTGTGGTACCTCATCGGGTAGATAGGGAGCGTATTGATCTTCACAACTCCTTTGAAACGCGGAACGTGCCACGTGCATTTGACCCTACCGAATCCCTCTGCAGACGTAGTAGTGTCGAGACCCTCGCAGTGTAGCGCATATCCACCAAGTGCTTTCTCGGAGCTCTTGAGTTGTAACGCGAGAGGCTCCCCGGTCGTGTCGTCTCTGCAGGTGAACAGCGTTTCGGGGATGAGAATCGCATAGAGGAGATCCGACGTGATCTCCTTCTGTGCCAGGAGGTCCGCGATCTGAGAGATGGTGACCCCGTGGTCTTCACGCAGATAGTTCAGGAGAGCATCAAGGCTCGCGAGTACGTCTTCCTCGTCACTGGTGCGGTTCACTCTTCCTTGCAACGTTTGATGATACTCCGTGAGCTGAGGGAAGAATCGGATCAACAGGTTGATTGGGAGCTGTCACATCGTCAGCGAGTGAATCAAGGATGTGGAACGAACAACTCGGAGGGATACCTCAAGAGGATCGACCGTCCAGGAGAGCCCTGGGACTTCTCCGATGACGTCCTTGCAAGCTGTCCTCAGATAGGGACTTTTGATTGTCACTGCCACGGCCGGCTCTTCTCCTGGAACAGAGTCCGCAGAAAACTCGCGCACTACCACAAAGCAAAAAGACTGCCAGATATCGGAGCCTTCCGATGTCTTACCACCAGATAAAACCTGTGGGGTAGACTTGATCTTGGTGTCCTTGTATGTCCATACTCCGTTCTTCCTGTTGAAGAAATGATCGACTCGCTTGACACGCAAAGTCGGTGTGGGTCTGAGAGAACGGTGTCAGTCCGTCGATTCAAACCAGTCAAGAATATGTAACACCTAGGACTCGCATCCGCGCACAATCTAGCTTCATCGTCGCGTCCATGCGAGGGGGTATTTCCTTTCTTTATCTCGCACCACCTCCATCGTCGTCCCGTTCCTCCTTTCTCACCTTTTGCTATGTTCCATTTCAACACCATCGTTGAGATCGCTGGCCTCTGAGTTGTCTGTGCTCGGCTTCTTTGTTGCTACCACGCGCCCGGCGACCGCAGCTGAGAGGAACGTGGTTTCAGCGGGCACACAGTCGCGTAAACTCTATCGACGGTCGATTCCTTTATACCTGCAGTGCGCCTAAAGAACCATATGACCCGATCTCTGTTAACGGAGATAGATGATACCGGAAGACACAGCCATTCCGCTCTTTGCAATGGCCTGTTCCATGGATATCTCATCACAGTCAGACCTGCATTGGCCACACCGGTGTGCAAGAGTTGGCACAGATATGCAGAGGACTTGTCTGTCACTCGAATAAGTCACCGATATGCACAAGATAGATACAGCACTTTACTCACCGCGCAGCACACCGCTATCGCGACCAGAAAGTATTTACAGTAGTTCCTCCGCAAGTCAATTGGTGGCCTGCTTCTCTGCCAAATACCGCTTCATTTCACTAGGATGAGGGATGCTCCATGCTTCGCTGACGTTACCGATACACATGACTTGGCAGCGCATGGAACTCTGCGTAGTCTCGGGGCTACTCATGCGTGTGTAGAGTACGATGCGCATTAGGTGGAGTTGTGTTCTCGTGTCCTTCAAGTGAGACACATGCGCAGCATTGATGATTACGCACCAAACCCACTATATGATACTGGCAGACTGCGTGTAGCTATTGACACGCGGCTAGGGGAGCTCACATTGACTCGGAGGTCGAGTAGCAGCTCATGCTCACGTCGTCCAACTCCCAGCCGAAGTAGTCGACGTCACCTAGCAATTCAGACATGCGAAAATGAGCTCTCAGATGACGCGCCATAAGTTCCACTAATGGGAAAACCAGATTGACGGGGGCAGAATCACCGTCGAGGATGGAATCAAGGAAGACGAACTCTCGAACTCAGGCGCGGCCCGGAGGAGACACGGTCACGGCCGCGGGCCACGGTACCGTGACCGCCGCCACCCGGCGTCAACGCGTCGACCGCGACACGGAAACCGTCCGTGGTGAGCCATACGGCTAACTTAGTGCTAAATGCTTGTATTCTAACGCGTCATAAGTCACGGCCAACCCGAGCACATAGGCAACGCAGCCTTAAAATGTCGCAGCCAGGATCCTTTCGCGTTCGATGAGTCGTGACTCGTTGGTTCCTTGAGTGTCCAGGTCTGAGATCTGAACGTTTGAATGTGAACATTGACGCCTGCTCTCGGAACCGGCAGATTCGAGAATAAGATTTCTCAAAACAAAATCAGGTGCTATTGGCGGTCTATGTACCGCGTGCAACCACGCCCAACAGCACTCACAAGCCACTGCGGGATATGGCATTGAACTCGCTCTCGAATTCTTCCATCGCATCTAGGGTTTCAGCGAGATGACTATACCCCAGCGTCTCTCCACGGCTCCTAGCCAGCGAGGTGGCCGTCCTGGTAGCGTTCTTGATCTGACGCCCGTTGACCTCTCGACCGACGAGATCGTCTAGCTGCTCCGCGGTGAGGCTGTCCATCTTGACTTTATGGAGGAAAGCCTGCCATATCTTGAGTTTCGCTTCCTTGCTCAGATCCCGGAAATGAAGAGCAACGTGGATACGAGACAGGAAGGCTGGATCGAAGGCCGTGACCCTGTTTGTCGTCAGAAAGAGGATCCCGCGGTAATATTCGACATGCCGCAAACTTGCAGAACCATTAGTCAGGAGTGCGGCCGTGCTTGATAAGAACACGTACAAAACCGCGACCATGGCATTGCGTAACAAGTCATGCATAGATCGCTGTTCCAGGAATACATCTGCCTAAGACTCCGGCGTCAGTACAGCTAGCACTGGCAGTAGATCAGTACACGAACATACCTCGTCTATGAGCACAATCGCCCCCCAGCGCGTAGCTATACTGAAGACGCGCTTGAGAGCAGTATCGACAGCGTTGGCGTCGGTACCAAGGTCACCGCCCCCGATCATGTACAGCGGCCTCTTGAGGTGCTCGCTGGTCGCCTCCGCAGACAGAGTCTTGCCGACTCCGGGAGGACCGAAGAGATTGATGACGAGGCCTTGGCCCTTGCCTTGTACGAAATCGTCGAAATTGATGTTGGAGTTGTGCGCCTCTATGAGGGATCGCAGGAGCTCCCTACGATTGCCCGGGAGCACAAGGTTCGTGAAGGGCTCATCGGACCATACGATGGGGTGGATTTTCTCGACGTTGAACTCGACTAGTACACGAGAGATGAGTGGATGCATGAGCCTAAATGCTAGGTACTCACGCCATAGCTTGTCGGAAAGGCTGAACCCGTACAGCACGGGTGAAGCGAGAATGAGATCGTTGTCTGGCAGTTGCCAACTGAAATACTGCGGGATAGTTGTCTCCCCAGCATCGGACGCCGCGTCCGGGTCGCGTGTCAGGGTGTATGCTCGTCTGATGTCTGAGTCCGGAATGGTTACTTCTGCTTGAATGACTCTGAACTCTGTCTGATCAACTTCCTCAGGCATGTCGTAGTTCGGATTATGGTGTCTGAACGCAGCTGCATCGTCGTCAGATCAAGACTCTGACAGCGACAGGTACGATCTCATCACCTCCGTCGATCATCACCCTGGAATCAATCTCGTCGCACAACGTCAGTGGATACAGCCTGCTCTGTGACTCTGCGCGACTCACCTCGTATTTCTTGCGATTATAGACAGCAATTCCTTGATACCGCACATGCTGCACTCCGTACAAGTCGATCCACTTGCGTGCCCGAGCGAGGAGTGCCGCCCTCAGACCTGCTTCATTGCTGTGGTACTTGATCGGGTACGCAGGCAACGTATTGATCTTCACTACCCCCTTGAAACGCGGAATGAACCGAGTGTGCTCGACCCTGCAGAATCCCTTCGCAGGTACAACATGCGCCAGATCAGAGTCAGCGACGTCGTCCAGCTCAACGTCCACGGCATCGATGCCCTCGCAGTAGAGCGTGTACCCGCGAGCCCCTTTGTCGAACTGCTTGAGCTGTAGAGCGCGAGGCTCCCCCGTCGTCGCGTCCGTGCTGACGAGCAACGTGCCGGGGAGTAAGATGGCGTGGAGCAGATCCCAAGTTATCTCCTCGTGTGCCAGCAGGCTGGCAATCTGAGAGATGATGACTCCGTGGTCTTCGCGCAAGTAGCTGATGAGGATCTCGAGGCTGGCGAGCACCTCAGTGTCGTCATCGCTCGAGCGATCCGCGCTGTCTTCTGGTTCCTGAGAGTCGTCGCTCGGGCGGCTCGCTCTGTCTTCCAGTTCTTGGCGGTACTCTACGAGCTTGGGGAATGCCTGGATCAACTGATCGACTGGAAGCTGCGATCGAAAACGAGTCGGGGGGTGCAGTTGAGTATGACAGTCAAGCAACACGTACCTCGAGAGGGTCGGCCGTCCACGAGATGCCCGAGATCTCTCCAATGACGTCCTGACAAGCTGCTATCAAGTACGGACTCTTGATCGTCACCGCGACGGCCGGCTCTTCTCCCGCACAAGTGGGCATCTGGCGCACTACCACGAAACAGAAGGACCGCCAGACGTCGGCGCCGTCCGCCGTCTTTCCACCGTGCAACACATGCGGGGTGGCCTGGACCTTGGTGTCCTCGTATGACCACATGCATGTATACATGTCGTAGACGTGATCGACCCGCTTGACCTGCAGACTGTACGCAGATGCGAGCCTGGGGAAACGTCTTGTGTTATTGGTTTACAGGTAACACCGAGCGAGGACTCACCCAGGAGAGCTTATGTCCACGCATGGTTCCGCCTCCGCAGGTGCGGGCGTGGGTGCAAAATAGGAGTACAGACTCCCCAGCCACGTCCATTGCGATTCTCCTTTCTCCTCCACTTCGTTTCCTGTATACTCTGTCATTGTCGCAGAGACGATGGCCCGCCCCTGTAGCGATATAGGCCTGCCCCTAGAAAGTGCTGCGTCTCGGAGAGCGCAGCGACGACCGAAGGAGATCGTTATCACAGCGGGCAACGTGTGTCCTGCGGAGAAGAACTAGATTTACGCCTGCACATTGCGGTGATTTATAAACGCACTGCGCCTGACGGAACCTGTGCTAACCCAAGTATCGCGAACCAGTGGTGCAGCTGCCGCCGAGCCACACTTATCTGTGCGCTCTGCACGCCATCAAACCCTACAACGTCGAGGGCGACACTACGACGGCAGGTTGCTGCAGATAGACCTGCATGTCGGTGAAGACATTGTCAACAAACGAATGATGGACGAGGTGTATGACTTACTCGAAAGAAACACTGGGTACTCTTCGTAGCGGTCTCGAAGCAGTCCTCGAAGTTGTTCCTCGGAAACCTCCTTACATGACATGCTTCCCCGCCATATACAGGTACGAAGTATCGCCTCGTTGTTCTCGATACCCACGAGAGTCAGACTTGTGTGGCTCTCAATTGGTCTTCGCTGGTGTTACTAGTACGCATGCCCATCCACGCATTGGATGAAAAGCGCGTATAAGTTAGCGACGACCCTCGATTTGATAAAGCGGTCAGGTGGACGCAGAATATGTAAAGCATCCCGATACACGCAGACAGTCGTCATCGCATATGTTTGCAGCGTGTAAAATGTGAGCATAAATGCTGTGCGAAGGGGAGACTGGTAAGTACTGCGGGCCCACGTAAGGAATCTTGCGCACGTCGCCGGCTCGACAATTCCGGATGCCCGCTCTGCATGAAGTTCAGGATATGGCGGATCACGACATCTGTGTGCCTTGCTGCTCTTATAAGCAGAGAGGAGGCGAACACCACATGTTAGGATCCGAACGGACGACGAAAGCAAATACTGTGTAGTCGGGCTGCATATATGTGGCCAATTCCCTGTATAAATTTCAGAATGCGTACAGCCTGAAGCGCCAAGGTCCGCTTTCGCCTTGCAGGGATCGGCGGACATATTCGTGCCTCGTCTGGCAGTCCGAACGCGAGTGTGAGTGGACTATATGCGCATATAGTGTAGTTGCATACCTACTATGCACTGAGACAGCGATGCGAACTGCAAGCAACGTGTCGTTTTCCGCGTGTAGAGAACACGTAGTGGAGAATCATTGGAGAACTTGCTGAACTGCTCGCGCTAAAAAGCATGGGCAAACGATGGGCAGACGGGTGTCGATTGTGGGGTGCATGGGTTGTTCCGCAGGCACACAAGTCTCCGAACCACGTCGAGCCGATTGGACCACGTCGTTTGGCGGTGGGAAGGCACAATGCATCTTGGCAGAAGATCACCTACATACTCGTCGGTGCAGATTGGACAAGCTTCAGGTGACACCGAGCATCATTGACATTCGGACTGACTCGGATCCGCACTTGATTCAGTCCCTGTGAGGATGTTCCTTCGCCAACGTTGTCTCTGACCCGGTGGCGACGGTGCGCTTGGTCATGGGAGTCTGCGCGAGTGCCTGTATGCGGTAGCTCTGTTGCCAGATACGCCCGTATGTCGTTCGCGCCGGCCACGCTTGTCAATGCATGACTTGGCTGCAGACGGCGTCCTTGTACACCGACCTTCTGACGAAAAATGCTAGGCACTTCCGAGGCGACTCACCAATGATCGTGGGAGATCCGCCTGAGACTAGTGCGCCTGCTGGTCTTGGAAATGGCCATGTATGTCGTCGTAATGACGGCTTAGGCAATATCTCCGTAAGTCTTTATGGGGGTCTCTCGCTCCGCATCGTGCCTGGGCTTTGTTGACGGCGAACACCGAGCCACCTCCCGCGGTGCTGAGGTCAATGTCAGGGCGCGCAGCTCGCCAGAGCCATGCCTCGGCTCACGAAGCTGGTGAGCCCTTCGCGTCAGTGGCGGAAGCAAACACGCTTCCGGACACGTGTAGTGTTTTTGCGAGGTGGGCAATTTGCTCTGCAGGAAAACGCCACGAGCGAATAAGTACGGACGGACTGCCGCTGACTGTCATGCCAGGGCCACTCTCGCTGTCACGGAAGTGATCCGGGCCACACATATGTACTTGCAGACGAACGAGCGGGTGCTGCAATGCCGCGTCTGTAACTGTGGCGTCACGCGAGAGCTCAGATATGTTCTTGGATGCACTCACCCGACTTGAGGCCATAGATCAGAGTTGTGTTGCTGATTCGACGCGGACGTAAGAACATACTTAGACCGCGGAGTGCGCGTACTTGCCTCGGACCACCTGTACTTAACCTTGTTCGCAAGGCATCTTGCGTCGCAGGCGTCACATGCGACACGAATGCGATTTCGATGATATAATCGAGTTAGGGGGGCTCCGATTTGTCCCGCTCGCATGGCTGCCACTGTCAATGTCAGAACGGTGCGACCCGTATGCAGACGCACCCGATAACAGCCCCATAAAACTTTCTGCTCATCGCTCGACGGTGTCCTGGGCAGTGAAGAGACACAGCAAAAGCAGCCACAGCTTGTCCACAGCAACATGGGGGAATGTACGTAACGTCGGGACGTAGAGGGCCCGGCGGTGGAAGGAGGTGATGGCCGCGGAAGCAGATGGCGGAGGGCAGCCGGCGGCATTGCCCAAAGCGGAGAGCGTGCTCTGCGGGCGTGACGGGCGTGTCTCGATAAGAACGACCACGACTGTCCAAGCGCAATGAATCGTCCGTGCACGCGTCGTCTCGTAAGGCCCCGCTGACTGGCCGCCAACGACGTCGACAACGCCCCAGCACCCGCCGACGCCCCCACACCGTGATCCCCGCCTTGCGTCGCTTGAACCCCGCCCACCGCCATGCCCAACACAGTCCGCCCCCGCGACGACAAGGAGCGGTCCGCGCGGGCCCAGGAGCAGGCCTTCAAGCGCGCAAGAGGTGCCATATCTTGCGCAGAATGCCGTCGCCTCAAGCTCAAGTGCGACAAGACCGTCCCATGTTCTCTTGCAAACGAAGAGGCTGCTCTTCCATCTGTCCCAATGGGAGCCTTACCACTGGTCAGGGTACCAGGTGAGTCGTCGTGTGTTCTCGATGCATGTACGCGCGCGGGGAGGCTTTTCGCTAGTGTAGGCGCGGATCCGGAGACGGCTCGGAGCGATGCTTGTGCCACTCAAGGGCAGACGCGAGCTCGGAACGTTGTTCAGCCTCACGCTGCCCAGCAATCGGACCGTCGAGGGATTTACCCATGCAAGTCGCCAACGAACATCTAGCCATGATCATTGGGCGGAAAGCCTAGTTTGGATCTGGTGGACTTGGGTGTCGGTCTATGTTCGCACCACGGTTACACTACAACCAGTGCCGAGGCGACTGTGGTGGGTGGCTGAGGTCGGATCGCAGAAGATGTGGATCGCCTGTAGTCGGCCGCGATGTCCTCTGCCCGCGTGATCTTTTTAGGAAAGGCACAGCGACGTAGACACATTTCCCTGTGCACATTGCAAGTGTACCAGCTGAAAGTCAACTGTCTTTCAAAGTTATCATCAGACAGATTCCCAATGTGGCGTGGATTTACAGTCTCAGGCTCTTTATGATTCGGTTTCTATTGTATTCATTGTGATCACAATTCTGACACGCGTACAGATTTATCCTGGCGGACACCGACCGCCTACACCGGAAGATCGCGGAGATGAGCGACCGCATCCGCGAACTCGAAGACTCGCTCGCGCTCCTGCAGTCGTCCGTGTCGCGCGAGACGCACCCGTTGCTGTCCCGCGATCGCCTCAAAATCAAGTCGGCCTGGAGCTGCACTCGGCGGCATCCAGGCTGGGCGGCGACGGGTTGTTCGAAGAGGAAGAAGAGGAGGACGAGGAGAGCGAGTACATCGACTCGTTCGGGACGCTCGCGGTGCGCGACGACGGGGCGGCGACGTTCTACGGCCGCTCCGCCGGCTCCGAGGTGCGTCGTTCCCAGCGTGATCCACCCCCATACTGACCACCCGCGTAGAGTCTACTTCTGGACGAAAAACCGGGGCCTGCAACAGCTCCGCCTGAACGCCCGCCCAACAAGGGCCCGATGCTGCCCGCCTCCCTCGCGCGACTCACGACGTCGTTCCCGTCCGCGCCGTCGGACATCCCCGCGGAGGACATGCAGGAGCTGATCGAGGAGCACCTGCCGCCGTGGCCGCGGGCAGCGCAGTTGTGCGACCTGTACCTGGAGCAGGCGCCGTGGTTCTTTGGCGCGGTGACGCGGCGGCAATTGTTGGAGGAAATCTTGCCACTTTTCTACGACGAGGCGGCGGAAGGTGCGAAAAGCGGCGCGCTGAGTAGCTCCGCGCGGCGTTGCGCTGAGGGAGGGCGGCGGGACCGGTGGCTCGTCGCATGACTGGCGCTGTATTTGTGATATTCTGCTTTGGCGCGCTGACGGACGTCGACCTCCGCCGGCGCCGCATAACCCGGAGGCCGAGCGGTACTTTCAGCTCACGAGGGCTGCGCTGAACCTTGAGCCAGTGCTCGAGCGTCCGCCGAGTGTCGTCACCGTGCAGACGCTCAGTCTCATGGCGATCTATCAGGTTGGCTGTATGCGTCAATCTTCTGAAAGCGAGGCTGATGGTTTGGTTGCGCAGGGCTTGGTTGCGGACGAGAATAGCATCGAGAGTACGTGGGCGCTCATGGGGCTAAGCTCAAAACTTGCGCAGAGTGTGAGTGCCAAGTCCATGACCTTTGGACCAATAGACTGATCATTGGTTTAGATCGGTCTTCGTGCGTCGACCTCTGTCTTCCTGTCTGGGCAATACCTTAACAAATTATAGATCGTGACTGTGCCCGCTGGAAGCTATCACCAGCAGAAGTACAGAAGCGTCGCGCGCTGTTCTGGGAAGTGTTTATCACTGACTGTTGGCAAGCACTCGCCACCGGCCGTCTATCCACTTTCTCCCTCCCCTTCGTCGACACCGAACTCCCTGCGGACCCCGATGAGACGCTCGCAGAGGACGGCACGCCTCAGCTGTCTTGTAAGTGTTTCGCAAGTTTCACTGCGTACTCTGCGCTTACCATTGTGGGGCTCTACGGTGTTCATACAGTCCCTGCGTGGAAAGCGCGCTGGGGTAAAGAATGTGTCTCGGAGGTCGTCCAGGGCACGCTCACGTCGCGCGCCCCGAAATACACTGTCATCCTTGAACTGATCGTAAGCTGAGAGACATGCCACTGCCAAAATACGCCACCGGCTCGCCGCCAGAAGGAAGGGCCTCTCGGAAACGATGAGCCACTACATGCCGATCAACTACTTACATCTGAGTGAGTCTCAGTGCTTACGCGAGTCCGTGAAGCGTGAATGACTGTTGTGCGGCAGCTCTGCTTTATGTGCATAGATGCTTCTTCGCGCAAGCACTGAGCGACCACCCGACGGACCCGCTTCGGAGCCCGTACTCGCCGTCTTTCCTCGCTGGCTATCGGAGTGCGTGCATCCTGTTGAGCTCGCTCCGCGAGCAGTTCAACCTGTTCCCGATACAAATTGCCAGATTCTGGGTCTTGTGGACGCATGCGTTCTCCTCCACTGTGAGTACGCGACCAATGTGAACGTGCCAGGTACAAGCTGACATGGCGGGACAGGTGATGCTCGCTTCGGTCGTTACCCATGGAGGTACGACAAAGACGGCACAGGCAGCATTGGGAGAGCTGAGACTGGCGTATGACTTGTTTGAGAGTGCTGCGAAGCATGGCGGGCGCGCTGTGAAGTTCTTGGTGGGTACACAGTTCTCCGTGCGGAAAATAGCATCGAGCATACTGACTTCCTTCCAGCCGATCGTCCGGAGACTACACGACAAGGCATACGCGACTTACACACAGGGCCTCCACTGTCCGTGATATCTTCGCACCTCGCGTGGCCGGCCAGCACGACGAGCTCCAGATCTCAGCGGTCGTACGCGGACCGTCGCTACGAATCTCACATATCCAGCGAGTGCGCTCCGTCTCGAGCGTCGTCCGGGGCTTCGTAGCACGCCGGCAGTCGACGTCAGGACTATCTCGCGGACTCACGTCCTGGCGGTCGGGTCCGCGCTCTCGGGAGCCGCAGTACTCCTGGATATTTCCGGCCCTCAGAGCTATGGGGCGCGGTGCACCGATCTGGACGAGATGCACGGGTTTCAGGGCGCGCTGGCGACAGATCCGGGACGTCAATGCGATACATGAGCAAACAGGGGGCACGGTTGGAAGAGCAGAGCGGTATGGTGACATGCAGCAATCAGGGAGCTATCCTACTCCGCCGGACTACCAGAGTCCGCCGCAGAATATGAGATGTCGCAGGGCTACGGAAGCACGCATGGGTATGAAGGCGTAGAGGGGCATCGGGTCACCAGGAGTATTCAGAATGGTACCCCGCACCACCGCAGACGCACGGACAGCCTGAGCATGATCAGGCTATGTCCCAATACCCAGGGCGCACTTCGCAGCTCGTCCCAGTAGATCCGCAGCATGCAGGATTCGCCCAAGGCCACTCACAACCATACCCGTCGTACCACGCTGGCGACAGCAATCATACCACGGTTCCTCATGGACAGTATCACGGTTTCCCTCCTGCCATGCATGCCCCGGCATACCATTCCGATATGCCGCCCCCGCCTCCTGCGACCCGCTCCCAGCTGTGGCAAGTCCCTCCAGGACAAACTGGACATGAACTCGGGTACCCGACGACGCCTATTGACTACCCTCCGCAGCCCACTCAGCCCGTGCACGCTGGCAATTCGTACGGCCACGCATCGACGCCTAGCCTCAGCCGGAGTCACAGCATGACCCAGATGCCAGGATCCGTCGATGGCCCCCCAGCCGGTGATGAATGTGCATTACAGCTTGCAGGAGACCTGGAATTCGTTCGTGCAGCATCAGCTGCCCACGCCCGTCGCCCCGCAGCCGCCCCCGCAAGGACTCGGATATGGTGGTCCTGGAGCTTGATCGGGTACCTCTGTGCTCTTCCGTCTGTACTTGCTCCTTCTCGGATAGCTGTCTATGCTTTTTTGCTACTCGTTATGCTATCAGATTGTTTGCATCTCTAGATATCCTAGCTTGAATGTACCGTTGTGTTGTTAGGGGTCGGGCAAGTACCCGGTACCGGTCCTGCTCTCTTAGATTGCTTGCAAGGTCCCCTCCTGGCCCGTTTTGTCATGCCGATACACATCCGTTATGCAGTTCTTCACTTTGCAAACGCTTGAATGCTGCGTTTCGAGCATCCCTGTAGGTGCACTGTAACTTTCAGTACTCAGTACACACCGTGACCGGGGTCGACTCCCTGGCGCTGGTGCGGTAGTGTACGGTGTAAAACTCAAACAATGTTTCTTACGGTATGTAAGTAAGTCGGGCCGTGAGGTAAGTTTTTGACATGGGGTTTTAAACGTTTTAAACGTGACCACATGATGTGTCACGTGATGTTTCTCGCCTGCGGCGCCTGTACTCCATTAGAGATATTCAGGAGCATAGGCCCCTTGTCTCCTCATGTATGGTAAATAGTAGAGTGTGCCAACGATTACAGGAACTGAAGCAGGATGTATGTCACAAAGAAACCCACCGTCGGGCGGAAGTGCTCACTGCTCACTCAGTGTAGTAAGGGATGCGTAAGCGCCGGAATACATCGCACGGGCGCCCGATGCTCGTACAAATAGATATATTGTTTTCTTTCCTGTTCGTTTTCCGTTCTCTTTCTTGACTCACTACAGACTCATTATAGACTCATTCCCGTTTCGTATATGCTGTACTCAGAGTGGATACTTGTGCCACTGCCACCACTCATTCCACTTCAAGTTGTCCCTTTACTAGTAATCTCGCTTACATTTCGTCTACGACCCTCGGACTCGGAATGGCTCACCGTACCATAGGGTATGAGTACTGTATGGATTTCGGGCTGCAGGCCCAAGTTTCGATATGAGGACGCTTACCTACACCTCCGCATCTGACCATCGACTTCCTTAGTATGTGTTTCTGACCTCACCGACACTACGCTCACCCACACCAATGCGCAGACAAGCCGGATTCCTCACATTCACATTGATCAGCCATCTCACCCTTCCAGACTGTGGTGGGTAGCGTGAGTTGCTTGGTTCTCGACGGGATGCATTCAATGTTAGC